AGCCAGGCATCTATCTTGGCGTTGTTCTCCACCAGCGCTGACCTCTCCCAACCTCTCCCCCTGCCCCCAAGGCAGGTGCTGGAACCACCGGAAGCCCAAGTGTTATTTCATCTCCTTCTTCCTTGTAGGGAATAAGCTTCTGGTTCTTCTCCATTTGGGACTTTCGGAACCAGTCTGCATCTGCCCACAGGGCCTCCGACACCACTGCGGTCCTTCTGATGCCAGTCCACACACACCCGTGGGGCCACTCCCTTCAAATGACCCTAGGCCCAACATCTTGGTCCTCTGGTTTGGGTCCAGTTGAGGTGAGGTTACTCTGTGGTAGGGGATGCCCAAGAAAGGGTTAAGTTGCCAGAAGCAGAGTCCCGCCCTTGGGTCTGCTCAGCCAATCAGAGTCTGTCCTGATGAGGTAAAGCTTCTATCCTGGGTAGCATTGGTTGAGCTGGCCGGCCCCGTCTCCTGCTGGAGAGAGCCAGAAGGGTGGAGTTTCTGTGGAACCAGACAGAACTGGAATTAGCTTCACTGTCGACTCAGGCCAGGGCTGCCTGACTCCAAGACCTGCCCCTGCTCCTTCCTACAGTGCTCACACGGACCCTGGCATCTCCAAGGCCCCATCTCTAGGTCCTGCAGTGGAGGTGACATGCGGCATGCACCTTGGTGTCACAGCTAGGAGAAGTCTTACAGCCAGACCAGACCCAAGAGGCCTCAGTTTCCCTGCCCGGTCCCAGGAATATGGCAGGTGGCTACCAGGACGTGATATGGAACGGTCGTCACATGTGGTCAAAGTGGCAGCATTCAGCCTCAGTAAACAAGGCCACTAGATGAATCTCCTATATAGACATACCTTTAATAATAATTCACAGAGTTCTTCTTATACGCCTCTTTGCTGAGCACATTACATGAGTTTAGCCCTCGCGAGAACCCAGTTCATCCATTCACCGAACTCATGAAAAACCCGAGTCTCAGAGAGGCTCGGGGCCTCACCTGAGGTCATAGAGCAGTTAGGCACTCACACCTCCCATATCACTCACTATGTTATTTTAGAACCAGCAGCTGGCATATCTGTCATCACCACTGGACCGCAGTTTCCCAAGGAAAGAAGGTGACAGATTCTTCCGTGCACTCCCAGCACTGAGGTCAGGGTGCCCCCTGAGCGGACGGAGTGAGCACATGCTGCACCCCACCCTCCCCTCCCTGACGGCTCAGCCAAAAGCCTGCTTTCCTCAGAGGCATGCTATTGGCCTGCCTGGGGCTGTGCACATGGTAAGGGCTCAGTGCAGGTTCAGTGAGTGGACAATGAATGGGCAGCCAAGAGCTCCCCTCAAAGGACCCCAAAGGACCTAAACTAGAGTCTGGCCCAGAGCAGGCACCTATTTCTATGCTGCTGTGCTCTGCTTAGTCACTCAGTCATGTCTGATTCTTTGCAACCCCACGGACTGTAGCCCGCCAGACTCCTCTGTCCACGGGGATTCTCCAGGCCAGAATACTGGAGTGGGCAGCCATTCCCTTCTCCAGGGGATCTTCCCAACCCAGGGATCGAACCCAGGTCTCCCACATTGCAGGCGGATTCTTCACTGTCTGTGCCGCCAGGAAAGTCCAAGAATACTGAAGTGGGTAACCTATCCTTTCTCCAGGGTAACTTTCTGACCCAGGAATCAAACTGGAGTCTCCTACATTGCAGGCGGATTCCTTACCAGCTGAGCTACCAGGGAAGGCCATTTATTTCTATATTCGACTGAATAACCAACCCAGTATGTATCTGTCTCTCCCCATCAGCTTAGAACCTTTACAGCCTTTACAGCCATCTGTAAAGTTATTCCAGATTAGCTTGACAGCATTCCCCATGGTAGGCAGTTTAGTAGAAGTCACCCCAGGTGAGAGAAGACAGGTAGTTTACCCACAAGGGTAGATGATGAGGCAAGAAAGGGTGAAGGGTGCAGACGAGGAAGAACAGGGTGGTGAGAAGAAGGGAGCTAGGAGAGGAGAGGAAGCCAGCCACTCATTTCTACAGCAAGAAGGAGCACGAAGGCCCACCTGGAGCAGCCTCCCACCTGCCGCGGTCAGCCAGGAGAGAGCCGGAGAAAGACATCGCAGCCGTGGAGAAGGGACGCAGTCGGAATGCTGCCTGTCTCCTTTTGTCCACCTGGTCCCAGTTGGGACCCCCCAGACCCCCACACTGCAGCCCCCAGGTCACTGCTACCCTCAGACACAGCACCGAAAGCCTACGGCCGCCCCTCCCCACTACCACGAGGGGAGCAGACCTGGCCCCGAGAGGCACACATTTCATAGGCAATCGAGTGATGCAGAAATCTGCAGGGCAGAGTTCTCTGAAGGAGACTGGACGACCCTGGGTCCTCAGCTTTCATGGGAGTCACAAAGCTTGAGGAGCCGGGACGAGCCGCCTGGCCACCATGGGACCACCATGCCCCGGCGGGAGGCTGTCGCCCACAGTCACACAGCAGGGAGTGGTACACCCACCTCGCAACTGTTCGCTAACCCACTTTCCTCCAGGACCCTCTGTCCTTCCCCAGGAGCTCTCCTGCTCAGGGCATGTCACATGTATCATGTTTTGCAAGTGGGGGAAGAACTTTTGCATTCCTTGAGATGTTTGAGCATCAGCATGTTCCAAGGGTCAGCAAACACTATTAAAAGGAACAGGGTTGAGAAAGGGCAGCACGGGAATTCGGGGAGCTGCCTTGCAAAGTGTCTTTTCTCAGAGAAGCACTGGGGTCGGGGGGACAAGGAGTGGCTTAGGCAGCGATTTCCATTCTGCGCACAAGGAGGAACAGTTCCAAAAAGAACAAAGAAATGGCATTAAAAAACATAATAATGGCATGCTCCTCTAGTCAGGGCTTGAAACAGATTTCAAGCAAAAGAGCTCTGCTTGACCAGTGCAAGAAGCCAGTGTCCAGGCTCAGCCTGGCCTCCCCTCTTCTTTCTCCCCTGGTGGCGGCAAGTCTAGTAAAAAGCCTGCAGCCCAGCCCTGGGCAAGGAGGTTCGTGGTCACCTGCAAGGCAGCAGGGACCTGACAGAGCTAAGCGCAGGGGGACAGCCTGTGCTGGCCGGACAAGCCACCTGGTCCAGTGGTTAAGGTGATTTTTTTTGCTGAAACACTCCTGGAACCACATGGGGCTGGAGAAGATCCTATTTACTGGAACTTCTCTCAGGGAGCATTCTGCAAGCGACTAGAAGGAATGAACTGCTAAGACCCTTCAAGTGTGTATGACGTGGGTAGGGAAAGTGGGCAGTGAGATCCCAAGGGGGCTGCCTACAAAAGGTCGTTACTAATTGCTGCCCAAGGAGGGTGGGCCGAGTGGGGTGTGTCATCTGGGCAGGGCCCGCTCTCAGGTGAGGGGGCCATTCGAGGCCATCCCCATGGTTAGACCCGCTTTCTTCTCCCTCCTCCAGCCCAGCACAGAGCTTCTTGTTAAGCACACATTTAAAAGAGCTTTAATCTGAAGTCACGTCCAGCTGTTGCCTGCCCAGGATGCCCACATATCCTGGTGCGGACCTGAAGCCAGGCCCCAAACCCAGGGTCAGTCAATCAAGCCCGCAGCCCTGCCAGGACCCGCTTCTCAACCCAGCCTGCCTACAGTCACTCAAACTGTCCCCCGACTCCCAGACCGAAGATGGAGAGACTCCCCAAGGCGCCGAGAAGGCTGTTGCCAACCCACTCCAGAGCCGACAGACAGAGAAGTTGAGGCAGAAAGAACTTGCTCACCAGTCCAGGAGAGCTAAGCCTGAAACACAAGAAAACTGGTGCAAGCATGCAACATCCCAGCAGCCGCCCTGGTGAGGAGGAAGTGGCCTGTTTTCTGATTGTGACCCACCTGAGATCAAGGGGGCCAGGCAGCCCACAGCCTCAGCAGGTCTCTGTGGAGCAGCAGAAGCTGAGACTGGGAACCAGCCAGCCGAGCAGAAGCAGCTGGGTTGTGGTTGGCTGAGCACCTACTGAATACCAGGCACCGTGCTATGAACTGTGGACGCACCGTCGCCTTTCCTTCACACGACAACGTTTTAGAGAAGAAATTGTTGTCCCCAGGTGGACCCCAGGGACGTTTAGTGAGTGGTAAAACAAGATAACTGTCGAAATCTGAGATTATATAATTCTCAGACACTATTTTAGGAGCTGCTGGCTGCCACTGCCCCGCCAGGGGTGTGCGGTCCCTTTCCCCACTCCCGTCCTTGGCAGCCTGCCCCGCTGGGCCACGTGCAGGGCGGCCTGAATGCAGCTAGAAGCAGCACGAGGCCTGTGAGTTGACCAGCTGCCGCTTGCTTTCCTTTACCTTCTTCTCCCTGATTCCGGCCAGCCAACCACCTTGGCTCCTTTGGCAGCCAATCAGACCAAATCCCCAAATAGCCAGCATGTTCAGTAAGAGAAGGGACTCAAAAACGGGGGATACAACTGTGCCTGGCACGGGCATCCAGGGGACAGTGGGTCCAGCTCTGGTCCCATCACCCTCCACAGGCACAGGACCAGCTGCCCGTCCCCAGATCAGCTTCAGCTGGGAGTCTCTAATCTCCCTGATGCTCCAGCTGGCAGGGCCCCAGTCCCCGGAAAACTCCACATGCCTCCACTTGGCTGTGGCCTGCATCGAACCAGTCATGGCTTCTTTCTGCCATAAGCGTCCCTTCCCAATTACGTCTGCCTCGGGCCAGTGTGCTGTCCCTGGGCACGACCTAGAGAGGGGACCACGTGCCAGGCAGCAGCAGGAAGGCCGGCCCGAGCTAGACCTTGCCACAGGCAAATTAGAGAACAGGGCCAAGAACTGATGGGTCTCACTCAGTTTAACTCTGCCGCGCTACCCGAGCGCCCTCGAACTCGCTCAGTAGATTCAGTGACACGCCAAGGAGAGAGACACTCTCAGCTTCTTGCCAAGAGCCTGCTGCCCAGTTCCAAGTTCTGAGCTCGGGCTGGTCCCAAGCTCAGTTCGGAGGCTTGGGGGTCCGGGCTGGCCAGGGTGGGGGGCCGGGGCTATAGCCCCCGGCGAGGCCCTTACCTTGCTGTTGGGGGATGGAGCCGCCAGCTGCTGCTGCTTCGCGATGTTCTCCGACAGGCACCAGCACACTCTCTTCTTCTGCTCCTGCGAGTGCGCTTCCAAAGTGAATAAGCACTCTGCCTTCTGACGTCAGAGGAAACAGAGAAAGGGGCAGTCAGGGCTGCTCCCTGGTTCAGGGGGCTCCCGGGCCCAAGCCCAACCCTAACCGTCCAGTGGGTGAGGCTGCAGCAGGGCGGGGAGTGACCGCTGAAAGCCACAAATGCGCACACCAATCCCCGGTGACATCGAGGCAGAGCAGAGGAGCTGGTTCGGGGGCCAGCTGGCGAGCCCGGTGCCCGTGGGATAGGGGGAGGGAGGCAGCGGTTCCCAACACAGTGGAGTCCTGTGGAGAGCCGCGGACTGCCGTGGTGAGGTCACCCCCGGGGACAGGCAGCACAAGGCGACCGCTGGGGGAGCACACGGGGGACCCAAAGGGCCGAGGTCTCTGCCCCTCTGACGTTCTGTGGGGCAAGGACCCCTCCCCGACCTTAGCACACTCATCTATTCACAAGACCAGGGTGAGATGGGTACCCACGCAGGACCTGGGTCCCTCCAGAAACACTTTGGAGAGCAGTCGCGTGGCCTTCAACAGCCCTGCTACTGCCTGACACATGAGCTGGGTCTGATCAATGACTGTTCAGCTCAGCTGAGTGCAAGCTTCTGGCACTGCTGCCATTTAAATCTCGCTCTGCTATTTAACCTTGTTAAGTGCTGCTATCTCATCTCCCCAACGAGACCCGAAACCCCTGATAGGGAGGCCTTTTTCATCCAGGCCTAGTACAGTGCTTGGCCAGTCAAGGCCTCAGTGAGCTCTGGCTCCCTGGAGACTCTTGGAATGAGGTCAAATCCAGGCCAGCCTTGGCACAGGCACCAGAGAGCTGCGGGGACCCAGGGAGTCAGCCCCGAAGGAGCCAGAATGTGCTGGGGGTGGGGAGGGGAGGAACAACATGCCCCGCGTTATCATCCTCCCCAGGACGCTCTGCGCAGGGAGTGGCGAGCTCTTTCTGTCTCCGCTGGAATTTGATTATAACCGCAGAAGGCTGCGATTTGATGAATTCATCCAGGGAGCTAAGAGTGTGAGCTGGATGGCTCAGAACAGAGAAAAGGATAGTGTAGAATTCTATGCAGTCCTTCCTTATTTTGCAGTTGGATAGGACTGGTTTGAATCTCAGCTTTGCTGCTTCCAAGCTGTCGACCTCAGAGAAATCTGTAAGATGGGAATGACCATGATGTCACCTACCTCTCAGAGCTTTCAGGAGGGCAAGCAATAACCCAGGCCTCAACAAAGAGCTTCCATGGTGGCTCAGATGGTAAAGAATCTGCCTGCAATGCAGGAGACTTGGGTTTGATCCCTGGGTTGGGAGGATCCCCTGGAGAAGGGAATGGCTACCCACTCCAGTATTCTTGCCTGGAGAATTCCATGGACAGAGGAGCCTGCAGACTGCAGTCCATGGGGTCACTAAGAGTCAGACACAACTGAGTGACTAACACTTTCAACAAACAGCAGCTATCTTCGTTATTGGTACTTCATTTGTTTAAGAAATATTTGTTGAGCACCTGTTTTATGTCAAGGACTGTGCTAGGCCCCTGGGGGTGAAGAGGGAGATAAGAGAGGCTGAGTTCTTGCCCTTGGGATGGGGGCAGAGACAATAAACAAACAGTGTCATTACAAACTGTGGAAAGGCCGAAAGGGGGAGGCCCTATCTGAGCCCAACAGACAGAGCCAGCCCTTCTGGAGGGGCAGCACGCAGCCAAGGGTAAACGAGGAAGAGCTGCCAAGGACAGTGCTGGGGGAAACCATTCCAGGCAGAAGGAACAGCAAGTGCCAAGGCTCTGAGCCGGGATGGTTATCAGCCTCACGGAGTAGCATTTGAGCACCTTTTCTCCACTACCATCTGACGCGGCCCTCAGGGATACCACCCTTCAGGCAAGGGCCACCTCCCAAACTAAGTATTCCCAGGGTGCCAGCCCCAAAGTGCTCAGAGTTGTCCTTCCTAAAAGCATCAGAGGAGAGCGGAAAGAAAGCCCCACCTCTTGGTTTCAGGGAACTGAGTAGATGTGGGGAGGCAATTATACCACTTAATAACAGACTTCCACTTGCCAGAACCCCCAGCCCACTGCAAGGAAGGACTCACCCCAAGATGCCCCAGAGAGAAGCCAGGTGGGGCAGGAGCTGCTCAGAGAGCCATTTGCTCCCTGTCTCGACACATTCACCCAGCGAGCGGCGGGCCAGGGCAGGGCCGGGACTATGGTCCCCTCTCACTCGGAAACGCTGTCAGTGTGGAAAGGCCGCAGATTTGGCCCTGGCCCGAACCCCTGGAGGAAGGCATGGCAACCCACTCCAGTAATGTTGCCTGGAGAATCCCATGGACAGAGGAGCCTGGCGGGATACGGTCCGTGGCACAGAATCGGGACACAACTGAAGCGACTTAGCACGCACGCATGCACGCACAAGCCTCCCAGGCCTGCCTCTACCTAGCTATTTGGGCTTCAGCAAACCCTTTCAACTCCCTGAGCCCCAACTTCCCCCGCTCTTTCTGTTCCAAAGCAGATTCTACCTTAATAATAATTCCCTTTATCTAAGTATCAACTTTAAAAAGCACCTTCCCATCCATGATCTTAAGAAGGTGTCTGAGGTGCCGAGGACCTATACCTAGGCCCAGTCGGGGGTTGGGGCCTGGCTGTCTTAGATGCTCACACATTCTGGGGAGGCCCCAGCTCCCAAGCCTCCTCTCTAAGTGCCGCCTGGAGTTTGGGAGGCTGGCCTGGATGAGAGGGAGAGCCTGGAGCCAGCCTCCTCCAGGAAGGCTGAATTCCCATCTGCCTAAATCAGGGGCCCCCACTGCCTGCTTGGGTCTCTTGGTCCACTCTGTGACCTGACTCATCAGTTTGAACACTCATATACACTGTGTCCTCAAATATCAGGCTCCAAGGTCAAGGTTGTAAGCTGCCCTGAAACCATCCTCAGGAAACTCACTTGGAGGCAGAGCCTCCTTGATCACCAGCTGGTGAGCTAAGTTCTCTCCCTATGCAACAGCACTGGGCCCAGACCTCTGCATTTAAACATACGTGTGTGTGTGTGTGTGTGTGTGTGTTGAGACGTGTCCAACTCTTTGCAACCTATAGACTGTAGCCCGCCAGGCTCCTCTGTCCATGGAATTCTCCAGGCAAAAATATAGGAGTGGGTAGCCATTTCCTTCTCCAGGGGATCTTCCTGACCCAGGTCTGGACTTCTCTTGTGTCTCCTGCATTGGCAGGTGGATTCTTTTGAGCAATCCCAAATCCAACTAGAAACCCGGCTCCTCTTGCCTTCCTTCTTTAAAACCCCATCTTGCCTCAACCTCCTTGTGCCTGAATTAATATTATCCTTATAAAAACGAAAACCTCTTCTACTACAATTTACGTTTGTCCACTTGCTGTGACAGATGTTCTCTTACTTAATTCAATTCTCCCAGTGACCCTATGACATACGGAGGAAGAAAAAACACAGCTGTTACCATCTTTTAGATGAGAAAACTCAGGCTTAAAGAGGTTAAGTCAGCAGCCCCGAGAAGTATCAGGATAGGAGGGATTCAGAGTCTGTCTTCTGCCTCCTCCAGAACCTGCGATCTTGCCTCCTTTATTTAACAGTATATGTACATTACAAAGAATGTGAGATACTCCTCTTAGTTTTTATTTTAGAGGATCGATAAATCATTGGCGATGCTGCTAATGGAGAGTAAATGAATATGAAGAGCTCTCCCCCTGTTATGATGCTAACAGGAAAAATAGCTACCATTTATTGAGTACTCACCATGTGGCAGGTTCTGTGCTAAGTGCCTTGGACACAGTATCTTATTGAATCTCATTTAATCACTGCAACAACCCTATAAGGTAGGCCTCAGCCTCATTTCAGAGATGAGTATGTGGCTTGCTCAGATCGCTCAGTTAGGAAACAACAGGGCCAAGATTCCAGTCTAGGTCTTCCTAACCCCAAAATGCAAACTCTTAAATTAATGCATCAAATTCTCTGCGGATAGTCCCTAACCCATGTGGCCTTTGACCCCATGCCCCTGGTACAGCCAGTCGTAGGCTGCATCTGTCTCTAGGATTTGCAGGGGCTGAGGGACACCTGTCCAAGGAAATTAAGGCCTCAGGGCCGAGGACTGCTCAGGACAATCCAACCCACTTGATAACTAACCAGGACCTGCTGCTGGGGAACAATCAGAGCAGCCGCCCCCCAATCCCCTCCCGCCCCAGGCAGTGGCGCTTTCTCAATGCAGACTGGAAGACCGTCCCTAAAATCCTGACTCTCTGGCCCTGGTTTCTTCTCTGGACACTACCTGCGTGTTAGGAAACAAAGAGAAAAACCACTTGCTGGAAATGCCAACTAAGACATGAGTCTGGAGTTCTCTGTGGGTTTCAAAACCACTGTTGGCAGGCTTGTTCCAGGCCGCAGGGCAGGCAGGGAGGGATCTTGTCTTCCATGTGTTACAGACATGCCTTTTGTAAAGAACAGCCCATTAAGAGAAAAGAGAGGCTACTGGCTGCCTGTGAGCTTCAATCCTCCAGCCCCTTGGGGTCATATCACCTGACACATTACTGAAGTAAAAGGCCCCAGATCAATATGCCTTCATCAGTCTTTGGAGGGCTAGGAGGTCACAGCTCCCTGGAAACCAAGGAGCAGAAGTGCTTTTCTCTGGGAAAAACAACCCCAGCCTGGCAGGGATAGCTCTCTTGGCATTAAAGAACTGGGAGCCTCATTTCAGGCCCCACTGGAGAGAACTGGAATCCAGATGGGTGAGGCTGGAAAGGCAAAAAGCTCTGACACTCCCCAGCCCGCCTCCCAACCTCTCCTAGACTGTTCTCTCGGCTCCACGCCAAACAAATTCACGCCAGCCCTGAAGCGTCTCCACCAGCTACTTCCTGTGTTCGGTGGGGATACGCTGACACGGGAGGCTACTGCTGCCTTTTCAGACCTCAAATGGCCATGCCAGGCCCCAGCTCAGCTCCAACAATGTCCACTGCCTTTTGGACTCCCTGCTGTCCCCTGCAGCTAACGTCTCATCAACTGTCTTAACCTCAGGGGTCTGGTCACCTAAAGGGACATGCCTGGAACTTAAGGAATGATCTTCCAATCACAAAAAACATGCAAATTCCTTCTCAAAAGGGTGTACTCCTCTTGGCCAGCCAGTGCAGACCAGGCCTCACCCATAACGTGCGGCCAGTGCATGCTCTCCCACAAGACTGACAGTTTCCCAGGGCTATTGTTGGGTAAGACAAACAAACAGAAGCAGGCGGAAGGAATTGGGTCTAACAAATCCCTGCTTGGAACTAGTAGCAGACTCATATGAACAGAGGTATAAGGAGTAAGAAAACTTGCTGCAAATTGAAAAAAATTTGTATGGCTCAGTAGTTCTGTTTTTCCATCGCCAAGGCCTCCTTTGATTAAACTCCTTGGGTAATGATATTTTTGGCCACCTGATGTGAAGAGCTAACTCACTGAACAAGACCCTGATGCTGGGAAAGATTGAAGGCAGGAGGAGAAGAGGGTGACAGAGGATGAGATGGTTGGATGACACCATCAACTCAATGGACATGAGTTTGAGCAAACTCTGGGAGATGGTGAAGGACAGGAAAGCCTAGCACGCTGCCGTCCATGGGGTCGCAAAGAGTCAGATACAACCGAGAGACTGAACTACAACAATAAATTATATTTCATCTCCCAAAACACATCAAGCAATAAGCTGTTTGCCTCCAGTTAGCTCAGCAAAGGCGCAGTGTCCAGCTGAGTTTCTGATGGGACTGGGATAACCAGCCTCAGGAAGGGAAGAGCATCCAACCCACTGAATGGGGTGTTACTCCAGCCCAAATTCAGATGTTGGACGGTTTCTTCCACGTGTATTCTCTGGGCTAGGTAAAGGTACAGTTACCTTCAAGCCTTTTCAAAACACTGATAAGACCCTGCAGGAGGGGGATGTAGGTGGTACCTTCCAGAAAGAGAGGAGGAAAGAGGTGGGCACGAGAATCAGGGCCCTCTCTAGAGGACTGTTGTTGTTAGTCGCTCAGTCGTGTCCAGCTCTTTGTGACCCCGGGGACTGTAGCCCACCAGGCTTCTCTGTCCATGGGATTTCCCAGGCAAGAATCCTGGAGCGGGTAGTCATTGCCTTCTCCAGGGGATCTTTCTGACCCAAGGATAGAACCCAGGTCTCCTGCATTGCAGGCAGATTCTTTAGCCACCATGAATAGGGCGATGTCTGACTTGACAGGCCACATCCTCATTATGACCCTTACAGGGACTGGAGACCAGGAAGTCCTGAGCAGGAGACCACAGGGTCCTTCTTTCTTTCCCCTTTAAGCATTTTCATGTCCACTGCTCTGCTACACAGAGGTAAGGGACACTGGGGCAGAACACTCTGGCCCATTCCACAGGGCGGGGCACTGCCATCGTGGACCTGCCCAGAACCACTGCAGGAGGAGGTGTGGAGACAGCCTCAGAACCCGGCACTAGCGCCCAGCCCAACATCTTCCTTCCAGCCCCGGGACACAGATCCTCTCCTCAAATTCAGGGGGAAGGACTCACCTCTGCGAGATACAGCACACAGAATTTCAGGTCTTCTGAAGAACCTTTGAGGGAACAAAAAGGAAGACTTGCATTAGAATTGGCTACAGAGTCAACCGTTTGCTTGAGCACCACCAGCTCTCTCACCCAGAGGGCTGAATGTGGTACTTCCTGTTAAAAGAGGAAGACGGGGCGGGCTCTCAGGGCAGGGAAATCTCAGGAGGAAAGCCCACTTGGTCACTAAATAGGTTGAGGTACAGCTGGGAGGCCTCTGCCCGCAGGTCAGCCTGATCCAAGGAGTGCTGAGCTCTCCCTCCATGAGAGGTGGCCAGGAGCAGCCTCTGGGCACCACGCGCAGGGTGCAGGGCACTGTCTGCCATCCCAGGAGGCATCTTTCTCACCATGCCCCTGGCGATGAGGGGCACGGAGGCAGCACACTGCCTTTGTCGTTTTGAAATGCCACAAGGAGCCACCAAGGAATGCGTGGGCTATGTGTACCATGCGGTGGGGTGAGGGGAATCCCCGATCACAGGCTGGGTGGAGCCGAGAGATGGCTTCCCAGCCCAGGCCCAAGCCCTCAGCGTGTTCTCCTAGAGTTTTCTGACCCTTGGTCACTCAACCACTCACCAAACCCTCTCCACCTGGGCCGCAGCTGGGAGGCCTGTCAGCTGCTTGCCCCTCCTCCAGCAGAGCAGCTGAGACGGAATACCCATCCTAGGGCGGAAGGTGATTTGGTCTGCGTGCTTCAGAAACACAAGAGCCAGGAGATAAGCCCCAGCTGTCAGGGAAGGCTTCCTGGAGGAGGACCCTTTTGAGCTTGAACTCAAGATGGGAAGAAAGGGCACTCCGGAAGCTGGGAGCAGCGTGAGCAAAGGCATGGGGATGGGAAGCGCCAGCTGTGCTCCAGGGATTGCCAGGGTAAGCAAGCCCCGTCTCCTCCTCCAGGCTGCCTTCCCTGACCACGGCAGGCTGCTCCTCAGAACCTGGCAGCCCTCCCACAGACCACTCATCTGAACACAGGCCAGGGATGGTTAGCAGCTTCCAGTATTTCAAGCATTCAATCTCACCGGGGAGGTTGTCCTTTTTGAGGCAAATAACCGCACAGCACATCTAACAGCAAACTTAAACTGCCACAGAGCTTTAGCATACCCAGTGCTGGGTGCCAACCACGGCGCCAAAAGTTTCATGTGCATAAACTGGACCTTCATGACAACCCCTGTGAGGCAGGGGTATGCTCACCCATGATTCATGTGAGGAAACTGAGGCAGAGGGGATGAGTAACATGCCTCAGGTAGAAGGGGAAAGAACCAAGATTTATACCCAGGAAGCCTGGCCACAGAGCTCATACTCTGAACCACTGCACACCCAGCTCTCAAATGCTCACCACGTAGGCCTGACCCAGGCACCTGTCTCCTTGAGGAAGCAGGACCAATGCTAGGCTCAAAGCAGAATGCTCAACAGACACTTGAATCACAGAAATTGTCAAAAAAAAAAAAAAAAAAAAAAAACAAGAAACCCAAAACCAAAGTATTGCAAAGTAAAAGTGACGAGGAAAAAAACAGATTTTTTTTTTTCCTAAAAAAGAGAAAAAACTTTTCTATTCCTAAGAAAAGTAGTAAATGAGGCCCTCATATGAGTGGAGGCCAAGCCCTCTTGGAGCAAGTATATGGGCAGTTTCCTGGGCAAGTCTATCCCTAAGGCCAGGGATGCCAGCCAGAGTCAGATAAAAATAGCTCCTAAGTAAATGGGGGTTTGCTTTGGACTTAGAATAAATCCTTCTGCTTCTCCCCACCTAGAGATGGACTGGTGGTGGGGGGCGGGGTGGGGAACCCTGCATAAGAAGTCAATCATGTTGAAGAAACCTCTAATTTCAAAGTTTCTGCCAGTTACTTGTGTTGCAGAGGGTGGAGACAAGGGGAGGTGATTTCTTTTGTTTAAGAAAACAACCAGGATGTTTCCTTGACCTTCCAGAAGCAAACTTTAGTGCCAAGGGAAAAACAAAAAGATCTGTGTAAGAAAATAACAGAAATTTGGGTCTTAGAAGCTGGTGGTGAGAGAAGAGAAGGTTCTAGAAGGGAGGGGAAAGCCAGCATGCTGGGAGCCTCGGGGAGACAGGAGGCCAAGGTCGGGGGGATATGACCTAGGACACATATTCCCAGTGGCAAGGGATCACTGACAGATTGCCTTGAAACTTCTCTGTGCTTCAACAGCCCCCACCCCCGCACCACACCCCCACATTACTGCAGACCCTCACTGACATCCGCTCCATGTCGTGGCCTTGGGCTGGCAGCACTCTGGAAGAAGGACAGAATGGGGGCAGCACTCAGCATGGCTCAGAGCCTCACATAAGGACTGCAAGACTCAGAACCCAGCGGTGCCTGGAAGGAGCTGCAGCTGCAGAAAGAGGAGGCTGTAGGGTGGCTGAGCCAGGAAAGAAACCTCAGCCCCACCAGAAACCCTTCCAGAACCCAGGAGTGGGCTCTGGACCTTCCAGAGTATGGAAACGGGGGCGAGTGTAAAGGAAAGGGGACATGAGGCAGCACACATTTGGGCTTCCATCCAACACTCCAACTTGCATCATTCTGAAGTTTAACAAGGAGCCACTTGGTTTCTAGGTGAACCCAACCAAGGAAAGTGGGCCGTGGACCATGGGCTGCTTAGGTAGTAGTTTAGTTAAGTCACTAAGACGTGTCCAACTCTTGAGACCACATGGTATGTAGCTTGCCAGGCTCTTCTGTCCATGGGATTCTCCAGGAAAAATACTGGAGTAGGTTGCTATTTCCTTCTCCAGGGGACCTTCCCGACCCAGGAATCAAACCCACAACTTCTGTATCTCCTACATTGCAGGTAGATTCTTTACCAAGTGAGCTACAAGGGAATGGGCTATGCAAGGGCGATCCTCAATCGTGGGCTAGGGAAGCCCAGAACTGGCTTCCTGGTCCAGGTCTGACCCCTCTGGCACTTTCCCAGAGCCTTCTCAAGCCTGGCCTTAGATCCCAAATCAATCAGTTACCAAGTCCTCTCCACCCATGAGATAGGCCAGGAAAGCTGTTGTCTCCATTTTCCAGATGCAGAAACAGGCCCAGGGAAGCAAAACACCTTGCAGAAGGCAAGCAGTGGGCCAATGGCAGAGCTGAGACTTGAACCGAGGACCACCTGCCTCCAAAGCCCATGTTCTGACCACAAGGTCATACTCTGTCCCTCTCCCAGTTCACTCATCTGTCATTTCACCAGGCCAGGGGCTCCTTAAGTGGGACTATGTCTCTGTCTCTGCCATTACCCTGGCGGCCAGCACTGAGTGGGGCTCTGAGGAGATGCTCAGAAAATGTCAACCAACTAAATTTAACTCCGAGCACTCCTGCAGCCGAGACCCAAGCAGCTGAGGCTCCAAGACGGGGCGCCTGGGCTCCTCAGGGAGGTTGGGGAACCCAAGAACCAGCTGGACATTTCCAGGCCATCCTGAAAGACCAGGGCAGGTCAGGAAGACACACTGTGGGTGGGATGCGGGCCGCCTGGGAGGCAGAAACACAAAGAACAGCAAAGCCAGTGGGCGGCAGAGACAGGAAGAGACCACAATGGGCCCTGGCTGACCGGAGATGTCCCGATTGTTAGCGCCAGCTCTCCGCCTGTTCCCATTACACTGCCTTTCAGCCCCGGCTGAAGCTTGGGAGAAGCTGGGCAGGAGGAGGGAGGGCAAGGTTTAAGTGGTCAGCAGCCGGAAGCGAGGGAGGCGTGCACCCCGGCCCCCAAACCCAGGCCGCGCTTCCCGTCTCCCTTCAGACCTTCATTCATTCACCCAACCAATAGTCACTGGGCACCCACGATGTTCCATGCCCAGGCCCGGCCCTGGGAGTGGGCTTGGCCAGCGGAGCCAGCACCCTCAGACACGTCACATGGAGAGTCCTTGCTCCCTGGGTGGGGCAGACTCTCCTCTGCCAGGGCACGGCCCTCACCAGCCCCAGCCCACAGGAAAGACTGGGTGTGCTGTGTTTATCATCTCCTCTGCCCAAACTGAACTCCCCACACATGTCGATTTGAAAGAGACAAGAAACCTTAGGAGTCACTGGCAATCAGAGACCATTCTGCCAAGAGAGGCTCCAGCTGAGGCTGCAGATGGATCTCCTAAAAGCCAGCCTCGTTGCTGCAGCGAGTCTCTGGGGGCGTGGCGGAGGCGGGCAGGAGTGTGGATGCCAGGACTCGGGACACTGGGCCCAGCGGCTCCAACTCCAACGGCTGGAGAAGGGATGGCTGGGCTTCTCCGACCCCAGGACCCACAGGGCTGTCTCAGGGAGCGGGGGGTGGGGTGGGGGCGGGCAGGAAAGCAGGCGAGAGCTCCACAAATGCCTGGAAAGACGTCTAAAGTGACCTAAGCGTTGGAACGTGCACCTTGAGAGCTCAGCATCTCTGGGCCATTTCCTTTGCTCCCAGCAGTTCCTGGGCTCCGTGGAGAGCCCTGCTTGCTGGGTTTGCTGACTGACCAGAACATCTGGCTGGCAACCCAGGACAGGCATATGCACACGCACATGCGTGCACGTGCACACACACACACACCCCTCACATAACAACCCAATAAGCTCCAGTGGCTGTGGGCATCTCTCCTGAGCAGGGCTGGCCGTGGCCACCCCCAGTCTCCAGCCCCGGGAGGCCATGACTGCACAGGTGACTTAGCAGAGGGGAGGTTTCTCCACAACACCCCAAGGCCTCACACCACCCACCCTGGCCAGCCGCCACCCAGTAGTAGATGGAGCTCACCCTGCCTCTCCCTTCAAGCCTGGGGTTGTGGTCTCCAGGAAGGGAAGAGTCAACCAGTTCTCAGTAGACTCCACCCACCCCGTCTCCCCAAACCCCGGCCCAGGCCAGGAGGCCAGATGAATGGGCACTGGCCATCTTCTCATAGCAATCTTAGGGCCGTGTGGGCACGTCAGGGCTGGGAGGGAATGTGAAGGACTGTGTTCCAACCTTGGCTACTGAAAGAGAAACTGCAGCCCAGAAAAGGGAGAAAGGACCAGCTGACGCTGTTCCCCAGGTCAGCAGCAACACAGAGCCGAGGATCCTCCCCTCCCAGAAATGATCCTCAATTCTTCCTCTGCCCTATGGCTCCCAACCCCCACCCAATGCACAGCCAGTTTGTAACTCTTTTCCCTCCCTCCTTATAGCAAGAGGCTGGGCAGACCAGGGTCCTGGGCTTGCAGGCCCCAGAAGTGTGTAGCGAGCACAACAGAACAAGAGATGGCTCAGATGGTAAAGAATGAGCCTGCAATGCAGGAGACCCGGTTTCAGTCCCTGGGTCGAGAAGATCTCTTGGAGAAGGGAATGGCTACCCACTCCAGTATTCTTAACTGGAGAATCCTATGGACACAGAAGCCTAATGGGTTACAGTCCATAGTGTCGCAAAGAATCGGACACGGCTGAGCGACTAACACACTTTTCACTTTCGTTCTTTTCATCAATCAACGTGTATTACCGCGCACAGCCTCCCACCAGCACCCCTCAAATCCGACAGGGTCCTAGATTGTGTGAGCCGAGGGTGGGCAGGTGTGTGAGTGCATGTGTGTCCAAAGGGTGGGAGGGACATGGGAATGGGTGTGCAGGGGAAGCTGGGTGTGAGGGATGGGGGGCGGGATGGGGGGTGGCGGCAGGAAAGTCAATGGCAGAGTCGCCCCCATCCTGCAGGCAATGGGGGGCTCCCTGGAACCTCAGGATCTGAGCTGAACTTGCTCAGAGGGCTGCTCCTCACCATGACCTTGGCCAGGCCCAGCCCGCCCCGCAGGAGAGCCTCGGCCCCCAGCGAGGTGACTTGCTTTTTCCCCTTGGTGGCCGCCCTGCTCAGTGGGCAGGAGGAAGCCAGAGGCAGAGAAGGAGAAGTTGTAAGTGACTTCCTGTGGGGCTGCAAGAGTGGAGGTTCTCACACGACCTGGGTTTCTAAGGAGGAAGAGCAGTCGGGGCACCGAGCACGCAGGCCAGGTTTGCAAACAGGCAGGAAGTTTTCCTAGAGCACAAGCCGTCAAAACAGAATTCTTTCGCTGGGTACTGTTTTCCTCCCTGCCCCTGCCACCCGGGCTCAAACAGGTCTGCTGTTGTTTTCATAACCTGGGAGAGGAAACCGAGCCCCTTTCAGCAGAGACCTCGGGCACCAAACCAAACCACTCAACAGATCCTCCTGCTGGTTGCCCGTTCCCGAGTGGAGGGCAGGGCCACCATGGCAAGTTCGGGTAGAGACTCGCTTCACGCTCCCACGTGCTCCTGCTTGCCAGCCCCGGCCAGCTCCTTGCACCAGCATCCCGGGCTCTGGCCTGGGGGAAGCAGCAGTGGTCTCCTGTCCTGGATGTGTGTGGTGAGTCAGGAGCCACGAGCATTGCCTGGGTGCGCGGTGTGACCCAGTCACTTTGCATAAACAACCAAATTTAATCTAACCTCCAGCGCAACCTTCTGAGATACTACTGGCATCCTCACTTGCACATGAGGAAGCAGGCTCAGAGAGGTCCAGGAACTTGCCTGAAGTGACACAGATAGCAAGGGGCCAGGCCAAGATTGGAACACAAGTCTGTCTGAATCCAGCACTCTTTCCACTCCTCTCCCGAGCCTTCCCAAAACCTTGCTGGAGCAGAAATCTCCCTGCAAAGTTCAGGGTCTACAGCGGGGACTGCCAGCCTAGACTGTAACACCAGTGACTGAGAGCCAAATCCACGGGCGGGGCCTGACCACACATCCCATCCATCCGTGCTGCCCAGACCAGAAGAAGGACTCAGGGCAAGAGCGGAGGCCATCCAGGGCGTCTCAGGCAAGCACTCACCTTCCTGCAGCTTCACGCTCTGGAGGTAGAGAGGGTTCCTTAGGACGTTGCAGCGGCCCGGCTCATCCTCCTTGGTGAAGAGCAGCAGGTCTGAGTAGGCAAACAGCGTCACCTGCACAGGGAGAGAGCAAACAGAGCCAGCTGCCCCGCAGTCCCGGAGGCCAAAGCCACAGGCTCCCCTGGAGGGCCAGGGAGCAAGTTGCCATCATCTCGTGTCTCTGTCATCTTGGGCAGAACCAGGAGCAGACGCTCAGCGTGCCTGCTCCTCATTGTGGGAAAAACTAACAGAATAAAAATCAGCCTTCATCCTCAACCTCCAGGCCTGATGACCTCTGCCTGCCTGTCAACATAGCAAATGGATGGGGGAAAGTGGAAACAGTGACAGATTTTCTTGGGCTCCAAAATTACCTCGGATGGTGACTGCCACCATGAAACTCAAAAATACTTGCTCCTGGGAAGGAAAGCTATGACAAACCTAGACTGCGTATTAAAAAGCAGAGACACTGCTTTACTGACAAAGGTCTGTCTAGCCAAAGCTGTGGTTTTTCTATTGGTCATATACGGATGTAAGAGTTGGACCATAAAGAAGGCTGAGCACTGAAGAATTGATGCTTTTGACCTGTGGTGCTGGAGAAGACTCATGAGAGTCCCTTGGACAGCAAGGAGATCAAACCAATCAATCCTAAAGGAAATCAACTCTGAATATTCATTGGGAGAACTGGTGTTGAAGCTGAGGCTCCAATACCTTGGCCACCTGATGCAAACAGTCAACTCATTGGAAAAGACCCTGATGCTGGGAAAGATTGAGGGCAGGAGGAGAAGAGGGCAAAAAAGGATGAGATGGTTGCATGGCATCACTGACTCAATGGACATGAGTTTGGGTAAACTCCAGGAGATAGGGAAGGACAGGGGAGCCTGGCATGCTGCGGTCCGTAGGGTCGCAAAGATTCAGATATGACTGAGTAACTGAAAAACAACAAGCCTCTCAACAGCCAGACACCACACAGGCCCACCTTCCTGACCAAATGCCTCTGCAATCTCCAGACCCAGGCCCTCGGCTTGGAGCCACCTTGAGCTGCAAGAGATACCACATTCACATGCATCCTCCTCTAAGTGTCTGGCTGAAAGAGCACTAGACTTGGAGTCAGAACTCGAGGCTCCTGTCCCACTAAGTAGCCATGAAAACTTGGTGAAGTCCCCAGATCCCTTCAGCCTCAGTTTTTTCATCTGAGAAAAACATGCAAACAGGGGGAAAGTCCCTGCCGGGCTCCCTACAGGCTTCTTTCATAAGCTCTATGTAGACTATGAATTGAAGCATCATGCCACATGCATGTTCTTACCAAGTTCCTTGCAGATAATTTCAACTGCCTCCATGCACAATCACTTCAAGAAAAAGTCAGTTACTTACACTCCAATACAGACACGCACAGAACTTTTATCTCTTTGATGCATTAGCCACTCCAAAAATAAAGGGGAAAAATATTTTTAGACATTATAGGTAAACCACCAGGCATGCTCCACATATTTTTATGCTAAAAAAAAAAAAAATCCACTTGATCCCCTAATGCCAGTAAAGATTACACTGAGCTTTGTTTTGCAAATCCTGCAGTGGCCTTTAGTCAAAAGCAATAAAAAATCCTATTTTAGGTTCTCTGAAGAAAATAAAATATTATTATGTGGACTTCCCTTTGAGGTATCAAAATCTGATATTTCACATCGTCTGGAGTAGGAAGAGTCTGCCAGAGAGTTGGCATGCACTATGGAAGGGCCACAGTGAGTGTGCGCTGGCTTGCTGCTCAAGTTTAGACGGTCAACATGCTGCCATTTAGCTGTCAGACTGTTAGAGATGACCTAACAACTCCACCTCTAAGACTCTAGCCTATAGAAATTCTTACAAGGACATATAAATGTGAACATGTAGGGATGCTCTCAGTAGCATTTTTGTAATGAAAAAATAAAAGAACATAAATGCCCATTAAGAGAAGATGAATAAACTAAATGATGCTACCTTCATATGGTAGAATTTTATGCAACTATTAAAAGAATAAAATAGAGCTCTGTGGGCAGAAATGGAAATCTGTCTGTCATAAATCAGAATACTGCAATGTGCAAAAATACCTAGCACATAATCCAAATTTGTAAAGCAGAACTGTAAATCTGTCTATATTTTGGAAAATATTTATTTATTTGGCTGGGCTGGGTCTTAGTTGTGACATGCGGGACCTCCATTGCATCATTTGGGCTCAGTAGTTGTGGCCCATGGGCTTAGCTGCTCAGCAGCACGTGGGATCTTAGTTCCCTGACCACAGAGGGAACCCACGTCGCCTACATTGGAAGGTGGATTCCTAACCACTGACCGCCAGGGAAGCCCCATAAATCCGTCTGTATTTCTACATACTTTCATGTCTAAGATACTCATCACAGACTTCACTGTGGGGAGGAGGATTTTACTTTATACATTTGTCTGATTTGCATTATTTGGCAATGAAAACCTGTAACTTTTATAATTTAAAAACACGTGTTTTTCTTAGGATGACTTGGCACACAGAGGTTTGACAGAATCTGGGCCACAGAGACAATAGAGGGCACCCTGGAGTAGGAGGCTCCCCGGGGCTCTGGCTTCTCCTACGGAGACCGAACATGAGGACTCCTGAGCGCTGGGCTGGAAGCGACCCTGGTGGGGACCCTCTCCAACCCCCTTCCCATCACAGCCCTGACCCAACCCGGCCCACAGAAGTCTCCGTTTATTGAGCACTTACTTTCTGCTCAGTGGATCCTCACTTGTAAATATCATTGCCCTCATGGACAGAGGAGGACCCTGTATCTCCGAGAAGTTAAGTGACCTGTCAGAGGCCACACAGGCAGGGACGGACCAGTGCCCAGGTCTGGCTGACCCCAGAGCTCTCACAGTGTGGGGAGGCAGCAACATGCCTACAGCTGCCCCATCCCTGAATGTGAAAGAATCCGAGCTGGGACCCAGAGAGAGGGGTGATAGAGACAAGATCATGAAGTTAAGGGAGGGGACGAACATGGGCCAGAGTTCAGAAGGATTTTAGGCACTGGTTCCTGAGAAGAAAACGTCAGCATCCAAGCAGCGGAAAAGAGAAAGGCTCTGCACTAGGCGCCCACAAGGCAAACCCTCAGACTCCCCTGACCGACTCAGTGGAAATCTGGAAGCAGCCTCCAGACCCACAGGGAAGCTGGCAGGGGAGGGGTCAGAGGAGACAGTCTGTGAGGAGCCTAAAAAGTAAAAAAAAAAAAAAAATACCAGAACCCAGCCCACGAGAGCCAGCTGGAGGGCACTTGGGAAGAGCCGCTAGCAAGGTGAGAAAAGACCCAGGCCGAGGCTCTGGCCCAGATTCCCAGAGCGGAGAGTGTGGTCTAGACAGGAAGTGATTAAGGCCTGAATGAAGAATTTCCCCAAAAGTCGGGTCAGGGAAAGGACAGAGCTGGCGCACAGTGGGAGGCAGGGCAGAGAGGCCAGCGTGCCCGGGGAGGGCAGGTGGGCCCCTCTCCCACCTCACCGCATCCCACGAGAAGTCCCAGCAGCCCAGAGCAGTGACGTTCCATCTCCACAGCCCAGGGACCGGCTTGCCTCCCGTAACAGGCCGTGGGGGCTGCCGGATGGCTCCCCACGCTTGCTCCAAGGACACTTCTGTTTTCCCAAAGGGTCAAGAGTTGAGGGCTTGTTTGGTTAGGAAATCCTTGCAACTTAAAGGATCACTAATCCCACGTAGTCCTAACCAAGCTTCTTCCCAGCAATCTTACCTAAGGGTAGGTTGGCAGAAAAGATCTTGGTGCCTGAGTTAATGGTAAACTCAGTGAGTCAGCGTGTCAAGTTAGGGTGTGTCCCTGAGCCCCACGGAGCTCCTGGAACCTCGAACACAGGGCCTGGCTCCATTGCAGATGCTCGATAACCAGTATTTGAATGTAGAAATGAGGCTGTGCCCAAACGCTGGTTTGGTCTCAGGGCACATTAATCAAGTCTGTGACTTCTGGGAGCAGGTGTGACGAGGGCAGTTCAGGGTGTGGGTTTGGATCAGCTCGTGAAGCATGCCCAGAGAAAAGAGGGGACAAAGAACCAAAGGGGAACATTCCAGGAGGTAAGATTTCTGTCGAGCACCAGGGAGAACTTGAGACAAATTAGCGCTCTCTAGTAAGAAAACCATTGTCCAGAGGGACTGCCTCTGCAGACTCAAGAACAGGCTGGAAGACAATCAGCTGGAAAGTTCCAGGGAAGCAGTTAGAACGGACGACTCCTGAGGACCCAGCCTTCGCTGTGATTCTCCAAACTTATCCAAACTCCTCTTGAATCACTTTATGTTTTTGACCCAAATAGCATGACAGGCTACCAAGATATTTGCTTCCTATCAATATTTCAAGAAAAAGAAATGTATTATTTTCACTTGTCTTCAAATTTCTTCTTTCAATCTTCAGAAGGGGTCTCTTAGTTCTAGGGCTCCAAAGACCCACTGGATGAAGAACTTTTGGATAGACTGTTAACTATCATCAGACCCTGGCTTCAGTTTCTGTTTGTTAATTTATTTTTAAACAAACACACCAGAGGCAGCATGGGATCCTGGAAAGCACTGCTGAGCCAGAGAGATCCCAAGTGCTAATTGTGGCTATATCTTTTGGGAGCCTTGAGACTTTTGCATGCATGCTAAGTCACTTCAGTCGTGTCCAACACTTAACGACCCCATGGACTGTAGCCCACCAGGCTGTTCATGGGATTCTCCAGGCAAGAATACTGGAGTGGGTTGCTATGCCCTCCTCCAGGGGATCTTCCCAATCCAGGGACCGAATCCACATCTCTATGTCTCCTGCATTGGCAGGCAGGTTCTTTACACCTAGTGCCACCCTGGGAAGCCCATTGGGTGCTGGTTAATCTCACTGGAACCTTGGTCTCATCTACTAATTGGGGTCAAATGTTCCTCTCTTCAGGAAGCTGCAAGAATTAATCAGGACCAGGATTTCCCTGGTGGTCCAGTGTCTAAGACTCCATGCTCCCAATGTAAGGGGCCCAGGGTTTGATCCCTGCTCAGGGAACTAGATCCCTGTTCAGGGAACAAGCCGCAACTAAAGACCCTGAATGTCACAGTGAAGACCCAGCACAGTCAGATTAACAATTAAATGTTTCAGAAAAAAAAAAGAGATACCTGGGATTAAGTACGGAAAGTGAAAGTGAAGGCGTTCAGTTGTGTCCAACTCTTCGCAACCCCATGGACTGTAGTCTACCAGGCTCATCTGTCAGTGGGATTTTCCAGGCAAGAATACTGGAGTGGGTTGCCATCTCCTCTCCAAGGGATCTTCCCAACCCAGGGATTGAAACCCGGTCTCCCACATTGTAGGCAGAAACTTTACCATCTGAGCCACCAGGGACCCAGTATGGAAAATGCGTACACAATAAGGCAATACAAGAAGTGTTTAATGTTTGTAGGCTTAATGGTGAGTGAGGGAGGGAACAAAACAGCACATTTGGACATACAGGTGTACTCCAGGGTGGCTGCCATTTCTAACTGTCTTCTTCTGAGTCTTGTGAATTTGTAGCCACACCTCTCTTTCTGACCTTCGGCTACCTGACTAAGTTCCACTACACACTTACTCACCAAGAACAGCTCCAAGGGACTTCCTGTTCTCAGAACTGAAATCCCCCTCAACAGATGAAGTTTTACTCCCATGGAGGCAATTCAGAAGTTATGCCAAGGTTCTTAAGAAAGTTCCGGAAGAGGAGGTCCAGAAATGTGGTAAGCGACACCAGTGTGGTGGAAATAAGCCCGCGGTCTCTCCAGGGAAACCCCCCTGAAAGAGACAATGCTCACTTGGAAAATATGAGTTCTGATCTGCTCGTCGAACAAAGAAAATGACAGCTGCCTGCTTTCGCTGCAGCTACACAAAATGTCCCAGAATGCTGAGGCCAAAACGCCCTTCGAGATCAGCCGACCTCAGACCCTGCCATGGCTGCCTCAGACACACACACACACCCCCACTATTCAGATGGGAAGACTGAGGAAGAAGGAAGAAGTCATAAGTGAGCCAGCAGCAAAACAGAGCTGGCTATAATCTTTCTGCCTTCAAGTTTCCTGATCTTTCCACCACCCAAAGCTGCCTCTCAACTCAGCCAAACCACACTGCCAGCTCTGAATCAGGGCCTGACTGGCAACAAGCCCCCATTCTCTCTTCAAGGCTCTCAGGAAACCAGTCAGATCCCAGGGTTCCAACCTCTGTTTCCAAGTAGACTTAAACTCACGAAGACTGAGCCGGAACCTGGCCAACTCTGGGGACTGTGAAGGGGAGTGAAATCCCCCCAGTAAGAGATACGCCGGGGCCAGCTCCCAGGAAGAGCGGCGTGGCCTCAACACCCAGGCCTCTGATGGTCAAGCTAGAGCCATAGAGAGATCATAGGCTTATCCCTCCAAAGAGGATTTGTGGTGTGGGTTAATACACACCCAGAGAATCCGGGTAAGGACAGATGCTCTTCTAAAAATTCTCTTTGGCTAACAGCTTTAATCTTCTCACCCATAAAGTCATTCATCACAGCTGGGCTGACCTGCCATCTCTTCTGCTCCTTAGAGGAAGTTGGGGTAAACAGTGGGATGTCATTAGGGGTTGGGAAAACCTTCTGACCGCCAAAGATCGACTATATAGCTTTGAGAGGTGGTGAATTCCCTGTCCCTGGATGTATCTAAGGAAACGCTGGGTAGCCATTTGGTAGAGGAGAGCACGAAGATTTTTCAGGTCTTTCCTACCCTGACTGTACCATTCTGCGACCATCAAGAAGAGGGGAAATGGAGGGGCCTGGAAGACGGCTGGTGAGCCCCCCGGAACCCTGGCCGGGGGAAGGCACATGTCTTACCTCGGCAGCCTTGTTTCGCCCCTCGTATAGCAGCAGCTCCTCCGACAACAGGAGGGTCCGGGCGGGGTTACAGAGATCTAAAGGCTGTAAACAAAGGCAACCGTTCAAAGAGGCCTGGTGGAGAAGGTGGGTGGGGGCGGGGGGGGGGGGGAGCAGGAGGCAGCCTGCCAAAGCCAGCCGCAGAAGACTGCCAGCCCTGCCCCCACACCCCAAGAACCCACACGCCCCCTCATACATGGACAGAAACAGAAAGACAGAGGCGCTCATCCTGGGCGGAACTGCTGCTGCGACCTTCCCCACCAGCCTTCACACACTTGCCGCAGGAAGTCGGACCACATGGCCGGGCCTCCCCCAGCTCCCTGACTGCACTGAGCTCCCGGGCCCTCCCAGCCCCTCCCAGCCCCCACACTCCCTCCTCGGTCCTATTCATGCTGTCAGGCCCAGGCTCTCAGGACGCCTCTGGCAGCATCCTGAGAGCCTCAGGCCAGGTTTGGTCACTTGAGTGCCTCTGAAGGCCAAGTCAATCCCTGCTCCACATTCATTAACACATTTAAATTCAGGGACTCCTTCTCTGTTGTCAGTTCCCAGGGACCAAGTCTCACCCAAACCTCTCACCCCACTCCATGACCCTGCCCCATACCCACTGCGGGGCCCCACCTCCCACTCTTATTGGTAAAGATCCCGCCTGCCAATACAGGAAAAGAGACGCAGCTTCGATCCTTGGATTGGGCAGATTCCCTGGAGGAGGGCATGGCACCCCACTCCACTATTCTTGCCTGGAAAATCCCATGGACAGAGGAGCCTGGTGGGCTACCGTCCATAGAGTCACAGAGTCAGACATGACTAAAGCAACTTAGCATGCACTGGAAAGCACATATAGGCAGTAAAACTAAAGAAAAGCAAGGAAATGATTGTCATAAAGTCAGACTAGTGGGTACATCTCTGGGCAAGGAGGGTATTACAATCAGGAAGAGAGACACACAGCCTCTGGAGTGGTGGCAATGGTCTAGGCCTTTTTCTTAGTGGATATCTACTTTATAATTACTCATTAAACCCTCCATTTAAGTGTCATGCCATTTTTGGCTTATATATTTTACAACTCAAAAGTTTTTTTGACTTCTTAAAACTAATTTTAATTTTTTTTGGTAAAAATTTTAAAATGAAAAATAGGCCCTGTGGATTCCAAGACCTTTGTGGTTACATCCCAAGAAAGAGGAGAGAGATGGAAAGAACGGCAAAGGGCAGACCCTGCTTACGGAGCCGTCTGGGGAGAATCATGTCGCCTGTCAGAGACAAGCTGCACGCATCCTAAAAAGTATGAATTCAAAGATTCACTGGCCAGTGACAGGCCCAGAGGATGCCAGGGAGAGCAGAGAAGGCAGGCATGGTCAGAAATGAAGCTCTTGGGGCTATGCCTCCTCTAGGCTGCTGATGAGAAGATAAACTGAGTCTTTCTGCACAGCAATTTGTCAACATATGTATAAAGAGCTTTTAAGATGTTTATGACCAATGACCCAGTCATTTCACTTCTAGGAATCTCTCCCAAGGAAAATAATCTGAGAGGCAATTCACGCATGAGGATTTTCATCACAGTTATTTACAATAACAAAAGAGCAGACATAACATAAGTGTCTGAATAGAAGAGAGGGCTGGTTAAATAAATATGAAACATCCATGTAATAGTGTCCAACCACTATGAAACACAGACCCAAAGAATATTTAACAATGTAGGAAATGTTCATGCTGCAATTCTTGTTTAAAAAAAGGCAACAGAATAGAAAATGTACAATACAGTCTATTTGGGGTTTTTAATATGACAAGCACGGGAGAGATATCTAAATGCTCACATGGGTTATATATCTGGGTGATAGAATAAATAAAGGTTTGGAAATGGGAGAGGAAGAGAAGGAAAACAAGAAAAAAATAGGAGAAGGGAAATCTAAATAGTCTCAGGCCACCAGCTAGTACGGGCCAGACGTGTTTGCTAAGACCAAGGAGACCAGACAAGAGGCCAGACCTCGAGGCTCGCTCGCTCGGTTGTCTCCAAACAACAAAGCGCTGCAGGAGCCAGGAACAGAAGCCTCGGCACACAGGCCCTGCGAGATGAAACAGGCAACTGCAGCGTGCCTGCAGTGTCCCCGGAGAAAGGGGAGCGGGAGGGGGACCCCCTTGATGTCGCGCCTCCCTGCCCCCACTCTCCTGTTCCTCCTCCTGGAAGCCTCTGCTCCCTCAGTATCACCCCCAGCATCCCGAGCCCCGAAGCTCTTTGGCTTTCCCCCAGTCCTGGAACGAGACACCATCTCTGAGTCCCAGAGCGAAGGGCCCTCTCTCTCTTTCTCACCTCCCCCAGAGGGAGCCCTGGGGGTCGGCCGTCAGCTCACCTGGACAAAGACGGGGAACACCAGGACCTTGGGGGCCAGGGTGACGTAGGTGCCATAGCTTGAGTGCGGGGTGTGTGGCCTCATGACGGGGCAGTTCTGGTAGTTCCCGTGGCCCTTCATGGTCTGCACCGTCTTCATCAGCCGACACTTCTTCCCCAGGCCCGTGTAAGACTTCCCTTTACTGGGACTCCCTGATTCTGTGTGACAGAGATGGGGGTGCACTGTGAGGCATCGCCTCTGTAGAAACGGGGTGCACGGTCTCAGTCCATCAGTTGCCATTTCCAACGGCATCTACCGTGAGCCTGGCCCTGAGCAAGGTGCTGAGAAGATGGGGAGACCTCGGAAGGCAGTCTCTCTCACACTGCGGGAGGGATACTGACATGCAAACCTCCACCTCCAGGGCGAGGACAGGGCAGGGAACTGCCAGCTATGATAAAGGTGGCCCAGGACCCAAATCAGGCCTATTGGTTTGGCCTCGTACTTTTAAAAATCAGAAAGTCTCTCAGATTTGAAAACTCCAAAGATCTGGCCTCATCAGGCCCACAGGCCACATCAGTCCATCAATCAGCTGCAGTGCGCCGGGTGGCAGAGCATGTGTGCTCCGGCTGGCCCGCATCCCCACCCTGGGCACACCCAGCACCGCTGGCCTATTTCACTGCCTCCCAGGTCCCTCAAACAAAAGAGAGTGGAGGGCCTGTCTCCGCAGTGATAGCAGAGACACTGGACTTTCCTAGGACGTGTGGGGCCAGCCCTCAACTAGCCAAGGGAGCTGGAGCAGCCTGGCTGACCGAGTCAGTCTGGGATAAGGAGTGGCGCGGCTGCTCCAGTTACCGGGGAAGCCCACCAGCTCTGAGCCAGAGAAGGAAAGAAAGAAAAGAAGGGGCTCCCCTGGTGGCTCAGAGAGTAAAGAATCTGCCTGCAATGCAGGAGACCTGGGTTTGATCCCCGAGTGGGGAAGATCCCCTGGAGACGGAAATGGCTACCCACTCCAGTATTCTTGCCTGGGGAATTTCATGGACAGAGGAGCCTGGCGGGCTACAGTCCATGGGGTCACAAAGAGTCAGACACGACCGAGGCAGAGGGCTGCACCCAAATCCCATTTCTCTGCTCCCTGCTTGGTAACCACCAGCAACTCACTTCCCCACTCAGACTCTTGGTTTCCTCACTGCAGTTATGGTATCAAGCTCATGGGGTGGCCATGAGGACTAAATGAGATGCTCCAAGTGAAGTCCCCAGAACAATGCCTGGGACCTGGAAAGGGAGCCATAAAAGCGAGCTGCTAACTCATTGTGGTTCTTGTTGTGATTCCTCCACTTGGAAAAGGAAGTTGATCAGGTGCTCCAGGGATACTGGGAATCCTCGGCTTCATCACAGACAGGAAGTACTCCCTGGCTTGGCCATCAGAAATTATTCTCATCAGAAAAGAAAGAAGAGAGGAGAAATGAGAGAAAGCGAATGAACCGACCCCAGGAAGAGAGCAGAGGGCTGCAGGGAGTCCCCCTATAAGGGGACACGGCAGGACACGTGCCCTCCACTAGACAAGGAGTGGCACACAGGTCTTTATTGTGTCTCATCCAATGGGCAGAGGTGCACAACACGGAGTATCTAAAAAGTCAGGAATTCTTGGACATAAGCAAGTAGGAGACAAACTCCAGGGTATTCAAGCTCCACACACATCTGAACCCCTTCCAAGAATCCCTGCTGCCAGGCAGGCAACTAACCAGCCCTTCCTGATCTGCTTGCCCAGCCCACAAGGTCTCCTTCCACCACCCCCAATCCTGGCAACCAGGGAGTGAGCAGGTGACCTGACCCCAGCTATATCTCGGGGAAGCTCCCCACCAACGCACAGTCCAGGGCCTCAGAGGAAAAACCAGCTAGGAAGGTTTCACACTTGCTTCCTCCGCCCACCCCATGCCCCTTCTCACAGAGAAAGGTGAGAAAAACAAGTCACCCCCCCCGCCACATACACACACACATACAAGTGACCACCCATTGCAGCAGTATCTTGGGGCAGCGCTCAAACTCTAATAACCTAAACCACTTCCTGCCTCTTCAAGGAGTCACTTAGAGGAGAAACAGCATGAGCCCAGGATGGGGGTGGGGGCCAGATGCACCGCCAGACACTTTCGCAGCTCCTCATCTGCTCTGACCCCGGACGTCAACCCCCGAGGGCTCTGTGCTGGCAGCCTCTGCTGAAAGAACCCATCTCGGCCTCAAGCTCTGCACTGGGTTTGAGTTGGACCAGACACCTGAGCTAGAGCACTGGCCCCCTCGGAGACTGACTGTGCACTCTGAATAGGCTCCATCGCCTTCTTAGCCAGAGTGTTCCCCACTGCAAAGTAGAGATAATGCAGACTGCTACCTTGCCTGAGCCAGGGCAGGTGGGGGCTCCCACAGGAGACCTGATGGGCAAGGGTTTGGTGAATGGTACCAGATTCTGAGGGCATGAAGATTATAAACCCAAGTCAATGAATAATCTACTCATCAAGTCTGGCATTAAGACGAGGATGCTGGACCACAAACCGTAGCATGAATGGGGATCCCAGGGTCAATCTGGAACTAGTCTAATCTGACACAACCAAGCCTAGACCAGATAAGGTGAAACCACACAGGACTGACAAGGCAAAATAGACCCAACTTAGAGGGGTTGGGTTTGCTGATGCCAAAATCTGGTTCCTGTGTGCCCCGGTCTGACCTTTAAAGGCATCCACTTCTTTCTTTCCCGAGCCCAGCTGCACAGGGCATCATAGAATCTTCGCCTTGGGCCTAGAAAGTCATGAGTAAGCCACTCGATACATACCCCTGCCTTTGGGAGGGAAGCAGTCCCATTTTATAGACAAGGCAACTGAGGCCTTGAGTGACTAGAGGACTTGCCCAAGGTCATCTGGACAGTAACTGGTACAAAGTGGGGTCACCCCAACCTATGTGGTATGTCTTCATGTCCCCTGTCCACACACCCTGGATAATGTGTAGCAAGTGGGCTTGATTCTTCAAAACTGACTTTTGAAGTATCTGTTTTAAAGAAACAGTCCCAGTTGTAACCTGACTACCCAAGCTCTGTGAAAGCAAACTCCTTAACTTCCCCCCTGATACCACTTACACCCTCTGGTCCAAACCCCGATCCACCCCTTCAACACCTGTTTCACTGACCAAGCAGAGTAATTACTCAGCTTCTGAGGAGAGCCCTGGCAGCCATCCCACCCCAGCAGCAGAGAATCTGAGGCTGGGCCACCTTCACAGGGCAGGGGACAATGCCGGGGCATCAGCGGGTTGGGAGAAAATGCCAATGACAAGCGGGCAAGCACCTCAGGCCCCAGAAGGGCACCAGACCCCGTTCAACTCAGGTCGGCTCAACCCACTCTCCTGAGAGCAGGCCAGAGGGCCAGGCAGCCCGGCCAGAGGAGGGGACAGAAGCCTCCACGCTGGTGACAGCCTTTGCCTCTGGAGACCCCTAAGTGCATTTAAGGGAAGGTCTGTGCCCTGAATTCCACCCCTTCCTCTGAACCCAAGGACCAGGAGCCAGGAACGCAGGATCAAAAACGTCCTTGAATCACCAAATAATTATTCTCATGAAGAATAAATGAAGTCAGGTCAAGTTCTTAATATAATGCATTCAGAAGTTACTACTGTTATTAACAGCATCATCATTTCCTCACTTATCCCTCTCCCACAGCCTGCATGACGGTGCCCGTCTTGGTTTGCCGAGTACTATGCTGTCAGAGGGGAACCGAAACCTGGATAGAGGTTGGGGGGACACCAGGAGGCATCTCTCGAGGAGGATCCACACCTGCCCGCCTCCGGGGACACACCTGTCCAGCTCCCTCAGCGGCAACCGAAGTCACTCCCTTCAGTCGGTAACTCAATTAAAATTCTGTTGCGTACCTGCTGTCTGTCAGGCCCTGGGATCAGCATCAGACACATGGAGAGGAGCAGGCCTAGGCCCTGCCCTTAATGGGGTCACCGTTTAGCAGTGACGTCTCCTCTTTAACCTAATGCACCAACTAAAAGCTTTCTTTAAAACTCAGTGTTGAAACATTATCAGACTTCTCTCCGGAAGGAACACGGATTCACTTCCAATCAAGCCCAGATACCCAAATGCCCCACCTGGAGAGAATGAAGATGGCTTCCATTCTCAACCTTGAGCCTGGTGGCAGCCCTTTCCCCCCCAAAAGACACCTGCTCTCAGCAAGCATCTTCATGCTACTGACAGAGGGGACTGGGAGGGAGCAGGTCAGCAAATGGCTGGGAAAAAGCCATTCTCAAGGCAGGAGGTCAAAGGACATTCTATGGGCTCTGAAGCAAGGGCTCAAGGAAATCAGGGTCAGTACCATGGACCACCAGGCAAGGCTGGTCTCAGCCTTCCAGATCCCATCTGGCCTTCAGCCAGTGCAGAAAGGACCTAAAAGAATGCTCAGCCCACTCCAGCATCAACTCTGACACTTTAGGCCTCCTGGGAGAAGGTGCTGGCTTTGAGACCAGCTTCTCTCCCTGGTCCTTAAAAAACTAAGGCCAGGATTTTCCGGACAAGAAAGAAAAATCCATTCAAACAGCAGACATTTGTGCACTTCAAAGACAACTATCTTCTGTGTCGCATCACTCAGTAAACAGGCTGCTACCAAAACCATTATCTCCCTCATCCCTCCTGACAACCCTCTAAAGTGGGAATTATCAGCCCTGTTTTATAGATAAAGAAACTGAGGTTCAGTGAGGGGTCATGAGTTGTTTAAACTCACACAACTCCAATTTGAGACCTCCCAGCTCTGAATTCCATGCCTCTTTCCTGGGTCAGCCTGACCATGGTCCATACAGCACCTTACACTTAGTAACACTGGTTGAGGGGCTTCCCTGGTGGCTCCCATGGTAAAGAATCTGCCTGCAATGCAGGAGATGCAGGAGACACAGGTTCAATCCCTGGGTCAGGAAGATCCCCTGGAGGAGGGCATGGCAACCCACTCCAGTAATCTTGCCTGCAGAATCCCATGGACAGAGGAGCCTGGTGAGCTGCAGCCCATAGGGTCGCAAAGAGTCGAACATGATTGAAGAGGCTGAGCACACGCACGTACAACATTGGCTGAATCTCAGCTGAACGCCTGAGCTCTGAACACCATCTCCTAGACTGCTCTGGAAAGATGCCCTCGCCTCCTTCTCAGTTCAGGATCCGAGGAAGAAAGATATTGGCTCAGTGAGGAAGGAGAGGTCCCAAGAGGAGACAGTCTGTCAGTCTGCGGTTGGGGCAGGGGGTTCCTGACACTGTTGGGAAGGCCTCCCAGCCAGAGGAGGAGGCAGGGCCTCTCAGCTAACCTCGCCATCTCTCTGGGGCTCAGAGGGCAGACTCACCTTCGGGGATGGTGTCCTCCTGGTACACAGGCCGCAGGAGCTGCAATGGAAAGACAGAGAACCCCTCAGCCCAGCCACGGGGCAGACAACTAAGCAGGCAGCTCAGTCCTGGCCTCGGGATAGGACAGCAGCCCCTCCGGGCATAAGGGCAAAACTGTCATCTGGCTAAGGAGCCAAGAGGAGGCTTGTAAGGAATACAGGCTCTGGAATCCTCCAGAATGTTTGAGTGTCGTGAGGCTTTAGCTGTCATCGAGTTTAACCGCTGGGCTGGATCCCCAACGTCTCGATGGCAACTTGTTCCAAAGCATGTGCTGTGGAACACTGGCCTTAGGGATGCTAACAACTCTGCCACAAAGGGGGACACCATCAGGGGTGTTTGGGAACCACTCGGGCAAACAAGGGTGAACCACCTTCTTCACTGCAGATGCCCTCAGAGCCTCAAACAGGTGAATACACACTGGACATCTGCTCCAAGAGAAAGACAGCAGGAGGTATTTCTCAAGCTTTTTTGACCTCAGGACACATTTTCCCCAGAATATCTCAGGGAACCAGTGTCTTGGAATACACACACACCATCATCCCAACGCACCATCTTGAAGTTCCTTCGACAGGCGCTCACCGCCCACCATGTGGCCCATTCTGCTATGGAAAAGCGCCGTCTAGCAGAAGGCACTTCCTTCTTTCGAGGTGAAACCTTCCACCCCATGATGTCCCCTGGTCCTGGATCTGTGCCCTGAGACCACAAAGACCCACCTGCTCTCTCTGCCCAGGACAGCCCGACAGGACGGCCCTGTGGACGGCTCACCCCGCATCCCTGCCGCCTATGCTGAGCCCCTGGGAGGCTCCTCCCAGCACAGCTGAGTCCTTGCCTCTTCCCGGCTTCACTCAGGGAGCCCAGCCCTTCACCTTCCCGGAGCCAGCCGTCCATACCTGGCTCCCGGGGTTCAGCGGGGCCAGGATGATGTAGTTGGGGTCGGCGGGGGCCGTGGCGCGGGACAGCGCGGGCAGGGTGTGCTGGCCCCCGCGCTTGGCCAGCTCCGTGCAGCGCTCCCAGCCGCCGAGCAGCAGCCCATCCGCGCTGTCGCACACCAGGTGGCAGCTGTGGCGGTGCTCCGGACGGGCCTGGGCCCCGTGCGCGCAGTTCTTCTCCCGCTTACTGGGGGGCGACAGGAGGTCAAGGGTCGACTTGCAGGAGGCCCGTCGCAGGACCCCTCCATCTGGCCCGGGCTTGACCTGGGGGACCATGCGCCATACAAGCAGGATGATCTCGCTGGGGCAGCTCCTGGAAGTGGCAGGGAGCAGGGGTCACAAAGAGACGTTGAGTCTGCTGCTGCTGCTGCTAAGTCGCTTCAGTCGTGTCGACTCTGCGCGACCCCATAGACGGCAGCCCACCAGGCTGCTCTGTCCCTGGGATTCTCCAGGCAAGAACACTGGAGTGGGTTGCCATTTCCTTCTCCAATGCATGCATGCATGCATGCTAAGTCACTTCAGTCGTGACCGACTCTGTGTGACCCTATGGACAGGAGCCCACCAGGCTCCTCTGCCCACGGGATTCTCCAGGCAAAAATACTGGAGTGGGCTGCCATTTCCTTCTCCGGAAGTTGAGTCTGGGGGAGACCAAAGTCAGGCAGGGTAGGGTCCTGCGGGGGCAGAAAGGAAGAGAAGGGAAGTGGGCAGGGGAAGCCTCCAGTGCTAGAACAGGAAAGGATGCAGAGGTCAGCTAAAGCGGAGACAGCAAAGGGGTCCCTGAGGTCAATTCGAGTTGACTGGCAGGGGCCGGGAAGGGCACTGGTAATAAAGAAAGAAGACCAGATTCAACTAGTGATGTTCCTCCTGAACACAAAGTACAAGCAAGCAAGCCACCTGTGTAAACCCCTTACCTAGTCATTCTAGAAGCAAACCAAAAATGGGGCTGTAATTCAGAGGGTCAAAATTGAGAGGTCCTATACATTTTAAGTCTTCCCTGGTGGCAAGACGGTAAAGACTCTGCCTGCGAAGCAGGAGACCTGAGTTCAATCCCTGGGTGGGGAAGACCCCTGGAGAAGGACATGGCAACCCATTCCAGTATTCTTTCCTGGAGAATCCCATGGACTGGTGGGCTACAGTCCATGGGGTCCCACAGAGTCAAACACGACTGAGTTGCTAACACTATGTACCAGGATACATTTTAAAGAATAACTGTTTAATTATACAACTGAAAAAACGTTTGCAACATCTACACAGCCTAGAAAACAGAGGGCTTAGCTCTGAGGTAGCAGAACTAATGAGCTCAAACAGAAAGCGACCCCTTGGAGCCACGCCATGAACCACAGGGTGTGTCTGAGAGCTTCTTCCCCACTGTTTGCTCTGGGATTCAAATTCACTTGGAGCCTAAACCTTCCAGTTTCAGGCCAAGTAACTGATTTCCGGAGGAGCAAAGCAAATGGCTCGCAGCTGTGAAGGAGGGACAGGCCAGGCATGTGCCCAGGGCTGGGGAGGGGAGGGGAGGTGCAAGGCAGCCCCAGGCCCCAGACCGCCCGCCGCCCCCGGTCACCGGATCTCGTGGGCCAGCTCCACGCATTTCCAGTGCTCCACGGGCCTCTCGTTCAGCCGAAGCACCGTGTCCAGCTGCTGCAGCCCTGCCCGCTCCGCCGGGCCCCCTGCAGGGACAAAGAAAACTCCTGGAGCCCACAATCCCCTCAGAGGGCCTGGGGTCCTTTGCCTCCACGGTGACCTTGGACAAGGACCGCTCCCTGTTTCTTCATCTGTGAATGAGGGCCTGACCTCAGGGGTGCTCAGGAAGGATCTTGAAGGGAGGCTCCCCTTTGCCTTCATTTCCTCCCTGCCTGCAGACCCAGTACTGGCTGACCTCTCTGCTGCCCACCTCCCCGCCAGGCCCCCTCCCTCCCCAGGATCTCCCACCCTTCGAGAACCCTTCTGTGCTGCCAGGCTCAAGGCAAGAGGGACACCCAGATCGCCACACCCCAGCTTCTCTTAGGATGTGCACTCTGTGACTAGGAGAAGTCTTTTCTTTGTGAAAAGTAGAGAGGGAATGACTATTTTAAAGGCTCATCAGGCTGGACTAGGATAAAATACTGATTCCAAATCAAGTTCATAAATGACTCTCATTTTCCCATGCAGCCATTACTGAAAATATAGGTTTAGTTCCTGTTTGAAATGATTGGGAAACAAAATATAAAAGCCTATCTTCACTTTGATTAAAAACAAAACAAAACAAAAAAAGAGTAGGTGTATTTTCATAGACCTCACTTTCATCTGTGGCCATTTAAAAATATTATTCTTTTCATTTTGAAAGGCCAGGACACTTCAGTCCAGGTTGGGGCTCCCCTTTCAGCTCCAACATCTTGTTTGCTAAGCCCAGGACCGCCATCACCCAAGATGCTCACTCACCGGAATCCACAGCCTGGACTCGGACCGGAGAGTCACAGCAGATGGTGAAGCCAAAGCCGTCCTTCCCCCGTGGGATGGTGATCTAGGACACAGCCCTGCCCAGTTAACCCCAGAAGCCGGGAGGCTGCCGCCTCTGCTCCAAGGTCGGGAAGCCCACGGGCCCCACCCCAGAGCCACCTTCCTCTCCCAGGTTTCTGGAGCCAAGAAGGAGGCTGGCTGGCCCCTCGCTGCCCCCATTTCGGCCCAGGCGTCTTGAGCACTGGGTTGTGGGCCAAGTAGGAGCTTAAGCCAGGTCTGGGACCAACAGAGCCCTGGAAGGGCACATCTCACCATCTCCAGCCCTGGCAGACATGTGACCTAGCCCTTTACCTGAGGGCCTGCCGCACTGCCTGGCTCCACCTCGCCTGTGCCCCACTGCTTGCTCGGTCCTTTTCTCCTTCCCCCAGCGGCTCATGGTGCATCGGCCCAGGGCTGGCCCCGCGCCAGGGGCCCAGAGACGAGGCTGACCTGCCGACTGACCTCCCAGAACACAGGGGCGGGAAGACAGGGATGCACACACTCACTCGCAGGCCAGGGGGCGGGGGCCACATCCTGGGAGGGTCTCAGGGCCATCAACCATCAGGGCTTCCAGGTATCCAGTGAGGGCTCCCAGGTGAGGGGCAAGTGAGGGCACAGTCCCGGCTGATCCTGAGCTAGCCGGTGACCTCCCTGTGGCCTGTGTGCGTGGCAGGTCCACAGCCCCTCCTTTCAGGAGTTCCCTGAGAGGGCCCTGCCATCGCATGCTCCTCTCAAAAGCAACAGGCAATTCCTGGGCTTATAAAGATCTCTCCAAAGCAAAGCAGGACATGATAAGCCTTAGAGCAAAAGGTGAGGAGGGTGCTAGGAAGACTCCTCTGTGCTTTGACTTTAGAAGACAGGCTTGGTGCATGGCAGGAGCCAGCCAGCATTCCATTCGTGAGGATGGCACGGCAGTGTCCCACCAGCAGTGGGCCACTGGTTTAGTTCAGAGTGGCCTTGCTGCATGCCCTCTCTGCACACCCCAGTTAGGCTTTGGGGGGAGTGCAGAAGGCCCAGCCCCTGCTCATTCCAAGAGCAATTCCTGGCTGCTCAGAGCAGGGCTCTGAGAGCCACAGACTAAGGCAGCTGAAGTCAGAAAAGGGGTCTGGCTCCCTGGATGTGGGGTGGGCCCTGGTGCAGCATTGGTAAAGGGCACCCCCACCCCGACCCCAGGCAGGCTGAGGAGGAAGCCAGCTCAGCAACCCTGGAGGAGCTCAAGGGTCACGGCCTTGTGAGGAGACTTCTATCTCCTTCTTTTAGGGGCTGCTTCTTCCAGATTGGGCGCCTGGCATTCACCTGCCAGTTGACCCAAAGGCCAGGCACGGGAAAGGGGAGGGCCAGGGAGCCTGGGGTGGCCAAGGCACTTGGATGCTGTCAGGAGGCCCCTGAGGCTCTGCTTCCCACCAGCCCTGGGCCTGGATTCAAAGTGAGTTTGTAAAACAGGAAATCTGACAGACAAGGGGAAGGGGGGGCGGGCAGGAAAATACCCCGTTCCCATAAGAATTCTGGGAAAACACACAGCTAAGGCAGGAAGAGAAAAAAATGGAAAGAAAGAAAGAAAAACAAACTCTGGAGTGAGTGCAGAAAGCCCAGGCTGAAGCCAAGGGACGATGACAGGAGACCAGTCCACTCCACGTGACCAGGAGGGACTTTCGGGGCCTCAGGGCGACCCTCAACCCAGGCCGAAGCTGGGATGCCAGCACTTTCCCCATCTCCCCAGCAAGGGCCATAGCCCCTCCTGCCGCGGGCACGGCTCTGGAAAACAGGTCCCAGCACCCAGTGCTGACAGTCTGGAGACAGGCCTCCAGGGCTGGACCTGGAGAGCAGGAGGGTGCTCTAACAAAGCAGCCTGCTCCCCACATCCAGGCTGGACTGTGGGCAGGAGACCCTTCTGCCTTTCTCGGCACCAGCCTGAGCAGAGCCAGTACAGCTAACAGTCCAGGCCAGCTGGGAAGAGAGCAAGAAGAGAGCGTGTGTGCTCGATGCGAAGGGCGGGATCACGAGAAGGAAGCAGGATCATGCTCTGTCCGCCGTGACCACCAACCTCGCTGACAGTCTCCGGAGAATGTGATCATCACTGCAGCCCTGATGCAGGGCTAGTTTTAGTGTGCCCGTTTAATAGAGAAGAAGACCAAGGTCTAAAGTAAATGAAGCTCTCGGGGTCAGGAGGCAAGGGGAGCAGCCCTGCCCTAGCTCTGGGATCTCAGCGACTCCTAGCAGAGGCCATCCTTCCGGGGTGGGTCTTGCTGTTTCCTGTCCAGAGCAGGAACTGCTGCTGCTCCCAGATCTCTCCCATGCCAGCACCTCCTGCCTGGTTTCAGACCCTCTATCATGCCTAGATTTCAACCCCAATCCCTAAATGCCACATTTATTGAACACCCTGCACCAGGCACTTCACACACATTCCATTTACTCTCACGGGCATCCTCACATCATCACCCTATTCCACTGAAGGGAAGACTGAGGATCAGGGAGGTAAACATCATGCACAAGAGCCAGAGCTCAAAAAGTGCCTAACTGGATGGCAGCCTGGGTCTGGCACAAAGCTAGTGCCCTCAACCCTGCACCACATTCTCACAGAGGATCCGTTTGGAACTTCAGTCTTGGAGCCCTGGGCACAGACCGGGGGCATTCATGCCTGACCCTATTCTGAATGCCAGCAAGCCCCGGTCCTCAGACCTGTGGTCCCACATGACCGAGGACTTCTCAACCTCCCATCCAGCGCCCCCTCTGCCTCACCACCCTGCCACCCAGTTGCCAGTGTCCCCAGGGCTGTTACGCAGGCTCTGGAGGGTGGGAGGGCCCTGAGAGCTGGGGACTGCAGAGAGAAGACACATGTCCCACATGAGGTGCAGGAGGCCCCCTCTGAGCCTCAGACCTAAGATCTCCCCAGACCTAAGCCTGCCTGTTTGAAAGAGTTCATGACCCAGATTCCAGTCTGTTTATTAAAACACAGAGGGACGTGGTTTACTCAAGAGTCATCCCAGAGTCCTATCAGCTTGGATATTCCCCAAATCTGGACATCCCATGCCTTCACCCTGCCTACATCATGCCTTTTTTATAAGGAAAAATGTCCCTCACATTTCCAGAACAGTCCTGGCGGCTGAGGGATCATCCTTCCCACGCTGCCCCCCCACCTTAACAGTGGAGCCTCAGAGGCAAACCCTCATAGTGAAGCTGAGCTCCAGAGCCAGAGGACTCTGGGCCCACCTCAAGGCATCACAGCTACCGGGGAGGAGAAACGTGTGTGAGTACAGACACACAGACACAGCCTATCTCACACACAAGCGCACACCAACACAGGCTAAAACACAATCGCATATACACGACACAAGACAGGCGCTGCCGTCCCATCAGAAGTAGGAAAAGTTAGCCAAAATCAAAACCCAAAAAACACAAATCCAGTTGCTCAGCCACCTAGCCACTTTCAATCTTGGGCTGGAGATGCTGTTTGTAATGCACACTCCCCCCAAATAAAAATGACAGAAAATCAACTAGACGGACTCAGCTCAGACACTACCCTGCCAGTGGTTAGGAGGGCACAGAGCTGGCCTCGGCTCTGTGGAGGCCTCTAAGGAGGGGCGGCAGGTACAGGCTACCTGGGGTCCAGTTCCTGCCTCTGTCCTCCCCCCAGGTCACAATGAACCTGTGAGGGGCAGGAGGAGGGAAGGAAGGCCCTGCAGGGAGAGAAGCCCTTCTTGGTGAGCCCCCACCCCTGAGCCCTAAAGACACCCCCCCCCCAGGGGCCAAGCACCCACCTGACGGTAGCGACGCTCCGAACACACCTTGCAGAGCCCATTGAAGCGGTTCATGACTGCGGGTCCTGCCTCGGCTGCCGCCCCATGAAAACCCGGCTCTCCCCACGGCAGTGGGAGCCCGCACTGCGCCCCGTCAGCCTGGCATGACCGCCCTGGGAAGCCCGCCCCGCAGAAGAATGGCAGGAAATCACCTCTCACCTCCCCAAGCCCTGTCTGTGCTGTGTGCCTCTGCACGATAAGCCCGAAGGCTTCCTGAAACCTCCAAATGACAAGGAAGAGGGAGAGTTTTATATTAAAATTCCTGTCAACTAGTTAGTATTCCCCCGGCCCTGGCGGGGATAGGGCGCCTTTGTTCTGGCTGCATTCTCCGCCATGGGCCACTTTGTGATTCCAGTGTTCTCACAAACACCCCTGGCTGGAGGAGAACCCAGGCAGAAAACAGCCCACTCTAACAACGCCGCCTCCCCCTGCAAATCCCAAGGTCCTCAGTAGCAAACACAGGTAACTAACTCAGCCTAAGGACTTAAGGATGCTTGGGACGGGGTGGGGTGGGGTGGGGGTTGCACCCACAGACTTTCCATGTCAAGACAGGAAATACAAAACATTTGGAGTCTGCCTGCCACCCAGAAGGCACTTAAAAGTCAGTTTTCCCATCCATGGACACGGGCTGCTTTAAGGATCTGATGTGAAAGTGTTAGTCGCTCCGTCGTGTCGGACTCTTCAGCGATCCCATAGACTATAGCCCGCCAGGTTCCTCTGTCCGTATGATTTCCCAGGCAAGAACACTGGACTGGGCTGCCATTTGATGACAGACCATAAAGTCAAGTCAGGAAGGGATTTCCAGTCACTAGATAATCCAGCCCCCTCCCTTTACTGGTGAAGAAGTGGGGGCCTGGAGCCACTGAGATGACAAGCAGGGCGGGATAGAGCTGGGATCAGAGCCCCAGTCTCGATCTCTGACTTGTAGAGCAGAGCCTGGGGAGCAGAGCCCCTTCCACCCACCTGAGGAAAACTACCCCGCCACTCACATCCTTGATGCCAGAGAGGGTCTCTCAGTCCAGCCCAGCTTTGGTTGCTGCGACAGTGGACAGGTCACCCTGGTTTCCCAGCCTCCATCACCCCATGCACACCTCTCGGGGTTCTCCCTGTGCCCTCACCAAGCCTCTGACAATCACCCCCACCTTGCTGGGTCCTACAGACATTTCCGAGGGTACAAGCCCAGGAAAATCAAACACACCTCGCAATAACGCGTCTGTGTGCAAAGTCCAGCCCGAAGCAGGACTCTCCCAGGCCACCGAGAAACCTGCTCACGCAATTCCCATGAATCCCCAGGCAGGTTCCCAGGTCCCCATCCTCTGCGCTCAGCATGAACAGAGAAGGGCCTTTCAGCTCCCCCACTGAAGCTGGAGGAAAGCTTTAAAACTCGGCACGGAGCCACAGAAAACAGAGACCTGGCAAGTTACTCTAATACTGTGCTATCCTATATGGCAGCGATTAGACACAAGTGCAGTTGAAATTAAAATTAATTCAAATTAAATAAAATTTAAAATTCAGGTCTTTGTTCATACTAGCCACATTTCAAATACTCAGTAGCCATAGGTAGCTAGTGGCTGCCGTACTGAACATCACAGCTCTAGACTGTACACTCCATGAGGACAGGGACCTCTGAATTGTGGACAGCTACAGGTCAGCACCTGGCACAAGGCCTGGCCCATGAAGATGTTCAATAAATACCTAATGAATGAGGCACTTTCCTGGTGGTCCAGTGGCTAAGACTCTGCGGCCCCAAAGTAGGGGGAGCCAGGTTCAATCCCTTGTCAGGGAACTAGATTACACACGCGGCAACTCAAGATCCCACACGCTACAACTAAGACCCAGCTCAGCCAAATAAATAAATATTAAAAAAAAAAAAGTGAATGAATGAATGAGTGAATGATTTGAGTAAATGAAAGGGGAAATGTCTTAGAGATAATAATACACCTAAATGTCATATGTGCTCACAGAAAACACTCACTGCCCTGTTTTCCCAACTAGGCCACTTGCAGGAGGCAGCCATACCTGAAGCCGTAATTCAGTACCTCTGCTACTTGCTGGCGTGTGGCTTATGGAGAGTGACCTAACATCTCTGAACCTTACACATCCCACTCATCTAGGGGACTGGTAGTTAACAACCACCTCAGAGGCAGCAGAGGGTCACGTTAGGGAACAACAGCGGGCCTGCTCACACGCTGGGAGCTTGTTTCTCCCTGTCTGAGTCGTTAGGGAAAACCAGAGATCACCTCCCATGGCTGGCAGAGATGCATTTGGATAAATATCCCAGAATCCCCACGGGAAGGCTCCTCTCCAGATTCAAAGTCCTAAAGAAGTGAGAACCCATCTCACGGTCCCGTGACAGCCACTCCATGGCACCCGTGGTGGGGGTGGGGAGGCCGAACCTGAAGGGGAGCTGGGTCATAACACCGGGGGCGGGAGCAAGGGTCTGAGGGGACCTTGGGAAGGAGGACTCGACTTCAAGAGACGGGAAGTCAGTATGACCCAGATGCCTCCATCTCCAGGGACCGGGACCTGGCTCTCTCCCTATTGCTGCATCAAGCGTGAGTAACCCAAGGAAAGCACAGAAATAACCTCTTAAAAATGCACAACTTGCTGGGTCTCCAAGCACCAAGTGACTCGGAGTTTCACGCACCAAACGCTGCCTTGTTCAGGGGTCTCCTGGGCCAAGGGACTGACCAGAAGCAGGTTAGAACCCACAGCAGTGCTCAGGGCCCATCAGTCCTGCCCGGGCTTAGGTCCACCTACCTTGAGTTTCTCCCCGTTCTCAGCATCCTCACCTCCTGGCATGCTCAACAACGGTTCTGGAAGGTGACACAGCAGAGTCAGAAAGTCTCTATTGGCATCTAAGTGCCTGTCCCACAGACCACCCAGAGGCCCAGGCCAGGGTGCCAGGCCCACGTGGTGGCCCAGTCACTGCTGGCCTCCAGGGTGTGGTAGTGCCCCAGCTCAGGCCAGGCAGAGGTCAGGAGCCAGGTCTGCGTGCAGGAAGGGCAGAGCACAAGGCAAAAATCCTCAGGCCCCACAGCAGGGCCCACTCGGCCTGTCTGCAGAGGTGGGCACCCCAAGGTCAGCCAGGCAGCCTGCAGGGGTTCCTGAGATCACTGATCCTGAGGAGCGGGCCATGCGGGAAGGTCCAGAAGCCCAGCCCTCCATGATCTAGAGGCCAGGGGAGCTGAGCCACTTGGGGTCAGGCCACAACCCTCTCCAAGGAAAGCCTGACCAGATAAGTAAAGGCGTCATGGACACGAGGCTACGTTCCAGCAGGTGCCTGTGAGAAGTTCCTGGACCCAGGGTCTGAAGGCGGCCTGGGCTGAGGTGACTCATGCCACAAAACACAGTGACGGATGCTACTATGCAGGAAGGGAGGAGGGGAGCCCCGGGCCAGCAGAGTATCTGGGCAGAACTAAAGGTGGTGTGCACGCACCTCTCAGGGGCCACAGTCTCCGCCTGGCCACCTTCAGGTGTTTGGTCCGGCCCAGGTCCTCCCCCAGCAGGTAGTACCAGCCATTGATCTCCTGTCATGAGAGAAGGCGTGATATTCTCAGAGGAGGCAGAGGGCACGGGGCAGGCGGCCCCCAATCCGCTGAGTGCCTCCCTCAGGAGCAGAATCTCTGCAGGGACAGACACGCAAGCCTCCCTTCCACAAATGTGGAAGATGTGGGAGATGCCACGTCTTCCCCTTCCAACAAACCCTCCCTGATGCTCCAGGCAGAGCTGGTCCTCCCCTTTGCTGAATTCCCACCGTCTCTTGTCCCTGAAGAACGAGTCAACTCACAGGCCCGCCTCCCCAGCTAGGCTATACAAGGCTCTGTGATGTGCCTAGCATTGTTCCTAGCACACATAAAGTGAAAGTGTTAGTCGCTCATTCATGTCTAACTCTATGCGATCCCATGGACTGTAGCCTGCCAGGCTCCTCTGTTCATGGAACTCTCCAGGCAAGAGTACTGGAGTAGGTTGCCATTGCCTTCTCAAGGGGATCTTCTCAATCCAGGGATCAAAGCCAGGTCTCCCACGTTGCATGCAAATTCTTTACCATCTGAGCCACCAGAAAAGCCTGGTACACAGAAGGAGCAAAATAAAGGTTGACAAAACAGAATGGAGGAGAACAGGCAACCTGAGGCTCCTGAGCAGGCTCCAGGTGGGGGTGGAGGGACATCTCCACCCAAGAAAGAAGGCCAAGGCTGCAGTTAAGATATTTGGGACCCACATGCAGAATAGAGCCCTCAGCCACCTACCCCAGACTTCACTTCCAAGACACAGAGCTGGGTGGCAGGATGGAGCAGGCCACCAGGACGTCTCCAGGGATGTGCGAGAGGAGCACTCCCTTCCCTGCTCAAAAGCCTCCAGTGCAGGGAGTGCAGTCCAAGTAGAGATGGGTAAGGGTCTGGCCACCCAGAGACAGGGACCTCCAGATCCCAGAGTCCTCACCTGCCTGAAGGAAAGCTCCACCAGGCACTCACTCCATCCCCGAGCACCTGCAAGGCCCAGAAACACAAGACCTGGCCTACAACATCAAGGGGACTCCGGAACAGACCATGAGAAGCAACCAGTCTTCATCCTCCAGGGTAGGGAGCACTCTGAGCTCCGAAGGACCTGCCAGTGTCCTTAGAGAAGACACCAGACCCAGAGTCTCCTGGGAAGACTTGGAGCCGCCTAACAACTGGTCTCTGATGTGAAAGAGCTAAGATGGGGGAGCCACAGTCACGCAGGTGACAAAAAGTGTGGTCTCAGTGGGGCACCATCTCACAGACAGAAGCCCCGCCCCAGGGCTTCCAGACAAAGGCCCCTGCCTGCACCAGCCCCAGCCTAGATGGCCCGATTCTGCCAGGAGCTCCCCTTGCACCCACCTTTTCCGGAGTCAGGAGGGACTTCACCCCGAAGCTCATGCAGCCGATAAGTCCACTCTGTCTGGGAGAACAAGATACGCTCACATCAGCACCTTCTCATTGCGCTATATGAGGAGGTCGACTGTAGAGTGTAACATAGGTTTGCCTGGTGCACTGCAGTTTACAAAGCACTTTTACCTGCATCATCTCATTTGATCTTTCCAACTCTGTGAGTTAGGCTGGAGTAGAGCTATTCTCTCCATTTCACAAAGGAAAAAAACTGAGGCTGAGTTGATCCCCTTCCTAACGTCACAGGACTTACAGTAGTTGAGCCCCATGGGAAACCCATCAGAGACGCTCGGAGCTACTTTGGAGGTCTGAGCTGTTCTGGTGCTGTAGGTCTGAAGAGCTGGTCCCCACGGGGAATTTCAGCTCCCACACCAGCTGGTGATGCTGAATTCAGGAGAAAAGTGATGGGACTTAAAGCTCAAGAAGCTTTGTCTTGGGTCCAGGCAGGAGCTGGTTAGTGCTTGGACGGTTTCAAATCAAGGTTCAAACCGACCTGACACACCAAAGTTCCCAATACCAATCCAACTTGGCTGCCAGCTGGGCAAATAGACATGAGCCAGGGTCAGGACTCATGGGAATGTCATGCAGTGTCGACAGGCTTGAGTTAGGTTGGATCCTACTTGACGAAGAGTGATTCAAAGTTCCTGAAAAATGTTCATCGCTGAGTTCCGATGTCCAACAATCAGGGACTGATTGATACTTGGCAGCTTTCAATAACGATAGTATGTGCTGTGTGCTTAGTCGCTCAGTCATGTCCGACTCTTTCTGACCCCGTGGACTGTGGCATGCCAGGCTCCGCTGTCCTTAGGGATTCTCCAGGCAAAAATACTGGAATGGGTTGCCCTGCCCTCCTCCAGGGGATCTTCCCAACCCAGGGATCGAACCCAGGTCTCCCACATTTCGGGCAGATTCATTACCGACTGAACCACCAAGGAAGCCCAAGAATGACAGTATAGATGAACATTACTGAAATGCAAAATATAATCCTGCTATTATGAGCAAAAATCAAGTTTACAAATCAATAGATTAATGAGAAAGATACCCACCAAAATATTAACAATAGCTGTATCTGGTAGGTGGGATAAGAAAGGGTTTTGTTTTCTCCTTTGAGTTTTTTAACATTTTTAAATTTTCACAGGGAACAAGCGCTTCTTTCAGAATCAGAAAAAAAAAAAAAAAAACAGTTTAAATGTATTTGAAAGTATTCTATCCTACCACATCTTTCTCTAGCCTAACACTAGAGTTGCTTTTTTCCCCGCCTCTCTTTTCTTCTCTCTTAGCACATCCCCAAGTCAGTCTCCTTCAGAGACTGGTTTAATATTAACAGCTATTAATCGAGAAACAACACAGGTATTAACTCTGGAGCAGAAGGGACTTCTCTGATGGTCCAGTGGTTAAGGATCTGCCATGCAGTGCAAGAGAGGCGGATTCGATCCCTGGTCAGGGAACTAAAATCCCACTACCACAGAGCAACTAAGCTAGCACGTTGCAACTAGAGAGCCCACCTGCTGCAACTACTAAAGCCTGCGCACTCTGGAGGGCATGCGGTGTAGACCAGAGAATCTGTGCTTTGCAACAAAAGATCCCACATGATGCAATGAAGATCCCACAGGCTGCCATTACAACTCGACACAGCCAAATAAATAGATAAATATTAAAAAATAAAAAGACTGGAGTGGAACCTTGACAGTTGACTTCAATATCTGAGGGACCCACATGGACGAAGGAGTCAGCATGTTCTGGGGAAGGTACAATTTCAAAGCAGAGGATGGAACAAACTGCCTGGACCAAACTAACTCCCTGGAGATGAGCCTCCCCGGAGACTGGGCAATGGGGGGGCCTGAGCCAGTCCACTGAACCCCCTGAAGAGCCTGTCTGAATCTTGTGCCCCAGAGCCTGCTCCCGGGCTCCAGGCCCAGTAGGTCCAAGGTGGGGTCTGGACACAGACGTCTGGAGAAAGCCGTCCAAGGGAGCCTACGGGGCACGCACCCAGGCCTGCCCTGGCGAGCACCAGAGGTCTACACTGTCTTTACAAATACATTTTGTTTGGATTCTCCAGAAAGGGTGGCGGCGGCCTACCACCCGAAAGTCAAGCAAAACAAAATGGGCTCTCACAGATAGCCCAGCCGAGCGAGGGGCAGGATGATGGCCGCTGATTCTCAGGCCCGGCGCCCCTCCCTGCAGAGGCTCACTCTGCACCGGGCCCTGTCTCACCAGCTGCCCTCATTCTGCTACTCCTCACCCTCCACGCTCTCTTCCTGCCCCCCTTTCCTGCAGCCTGGGCTGCGCGCGTGCTCCCTCCCCCTTGCCAGCCCCCTCCCATCTCACCAGGCCAGATTAATCATCTCCCCCTGGAGGACAGTGCAGTCACTCCATTAAAGCCACCCATCCCCATCCACCCCCCGACCCACCACCAAAAACAAACCCTCCTCCCTCCTGGCACGTGGCCAAGACAGCACGCATGGAGGGGCAGCCGCAGTGACCAACACGAGTGGCGGCCACTGACCTGAGCTGCCACTCCAGAAAGGCCTTGTCAAGACTTTGCCAAAGTCCTCATCACGGATTTCATTTTATTTGTCAACACATTCAAGAGCAACCCAGCTGGTATCCAGGTGCCCACACTGCCTTGCTGTACATTTTCCTTTCACCCTGGGTACGGCTGTAACTGCCTAAATCTCCCAGGCACAATGCTTTAGCTGTAATAAAGGCTGCCTCTTCCTGCTCTTCAATAAGTGGAGTTTTCATCCCCTGGTGCTCAGAGAATGCTAAATGGTTGATAGCCTCCCATGAGCTTTGTTTCCTGCGAAGGGGCCTCCAATGATTTCATGATAATTCAGGCCCAGCAAATTGTCACAATCAATGTCCACAACAGGAACCTCTAAGTGTTCTTCGATTAGCTACTCCTGAAGCCTGTTTTTAAAAACCTTTAGCAGAAGAAAGACATCTTTTATGCACAACCTGAACACATGGCAATCTACTGGTCAAGTAATAAACTTGGGAACTGGTGATCGCCTGAAATTTCGCTAGGCGCAGAGTCTCAGGGGCCAAGACTTGGGCACTTCTGAAGGCTGAACCCTGAACTTGGTGAAGGTTTGACAAATGGATGAATCCATCATTCCTATGTTGGCAGGCACTGGGCAAGGAGCCCCAGCATTAAGGAAACAAGACAAACACTCAGGAATTTAAACAGCAGTTCAAGGCAGCAATACAAGGGATGTCACTAGACGGGGTGAGATTGACAGATGAGCAGTGCCAGCAATAAATGCTGAATGCTTAGAGAGGCAAGAAGTGGTTTAGAACTGAGATATTCAAAGAAGGTCTAAGGAGTTCAGCCAGAGAGAATGAAAGGAAGAGCATTTCAGGCAAAGGGAACAGCTGGTACAAAGGCTCAGAGGTAAGGCTTCATGGAGCATTCCTGGGCAATAGTACAGCCAGGCCTCCATATGCAAGGATGAGGAACTCATGGATACGGAGGACCAACTGTGCTACCCCACTTTATAGAAGGGACTTGAGCATCCATGGATTTTGGTATCCACAGGGGTCCTGGAACTAATACCCAGTGGATACAGAGAGATGGCTATACTCAGCTCAGTTTATTTTTGAGCACACAATAGGAAACCCGCTACAAAAAGAAAATGCATTATTTTAAGGGGATGCACTTTACTTTTCTCTCTCAGGGGCCTTAAACTATTTCTGTTACAGACTTATTCCATTTAATCTCAATTTATTTTTAATTTAATGACTTAAATTGCACACACATTTTTCCATTCATCTTCTCTTTCCTTGGTCTCAGTCCCCATCCCTGGTCACAAGCTTTCTAAATTATTTACAGTGCTGTATTTGGCACTGGGGTGGTTTATAAAGTAGCTCAAAGAGCAAAGGGTACAAAGATAGTGTGCAACACACAGCAAACAGCCTCTCCATATATGTAGTTACTATTAGCATAAAAGATTATGTTCTTCAAACATATGTTGTGTGTGTTTTAGGTTGTTTTTTTTTAACTTGGTACATAACAGTACAATTCTAAGACTGTTTTCTCTTACTACAAGCTCTGAAAATATCGTGATTAACACTAGAAGCCTCAATTTGGCTTTTTCCACATCCTCGAACAAAACTTTTAAGTAGTTCGTTCCATAGTCAGTGATATTAAGGAGTTACTATTAATTTTTAAATATGATAATGGCATTGTGGTTGGTTTTTTTAAGTCATCTTTTAGAGAGATCTATAGCTCAGATGAGATGATTTGCTTTAAAATAATCCACTGGAGGAAGGGAAAGTGGGTGAGGGCGTAAATGAAGTAAAACTGGTCATGTATCGATCATTGAGGAAGCTGGGCTACAAGTATATGAGGGTTTACTATACAGTATTTTCTAATTTTGCATATGTTTGAAAATGTCTATAACGTCTTAAAAACTCACAGAAACCCAAGTCGAAAGAAACCTTTGAGATCTCTGCATTTTACAGGTGAGGAAACTGGGGCCAAGAGCCGGGAAGTGACCTGTCCACCGTCTCACAGCGAGGAGCAGTTATGCCAGAATCTACTGCCCTGAGGCCTGGTTCTCCTCAGCTCCCACTGTGCTCACCACAGGAGCTGAAATCAGCCTGCCCTTCCCAGCACTGAACCATCTTGTTTCTCTTCTACGTGTTCACAGCAGTCCCTGGAAGGATCGCGAGAATTCATGAAACAGATGCTCCCCCTTTCATCTCCTATCAGTCTCAAAATGTAACCGCCACATAGTCAGTTGGATGACTTACTTAAAACTATTAAAAATGCTGTGAGAGGTGGCCTGAGGCATAAGCACACTGATACAGAAAGTTTGGCTTTGGAGCTTTTTTCCACCTGTGTGAGCCAGTCAAGGGTACCTATAGCATGTGGTTTGATGCCAGGCTACCTGCATTTGTGTCTTGTTTTCACCACTTGCTGGCTGTGTTACCTTGGGCAAGTTACTTAACCTCTCTGTGCCTGTAAAAGAGAAACATGAATAATGCCTACCTTATATGGTATTGTGAGGATACTATGTCCACACAATAGATAATGATTAAATATGCTTAAGGTCCACACATGTGGTGGACATGAAGTGCTTGATAAACATGAGCAATGATGTCACCTTGGGCAAGTTCTTTGGCCTTAGTAAATCTCGGTTTCCTCATCCCTGAAGAGACAGACAATAGTAATTCCTACCTCTGAGGGTCGTTGCGAGGATTAAATGAGATAATGTATGTAAAGTGCTTGGCGCAGAGAAGGGTTCATTCATAAATGTTTGCTTCCTTCCTTCTGTAATTGTCCTTCACGTAGCTAAGTTGAATGTCCGTCCTTCAAAGACAGCACAGTTTGATTTCAGAGTGTTCGGCAGGGCAGGGGTTTCTGGCAATGGCTCTGCCTGTCCCCTGCAGCTCAGAGGCTTCTTCTCATTCAGAGCTAGGTCAATAACCATGCCTCCTGCCCCGAGCCGGCCACTGTGGTGCTGGCACCTCGGGCAGGGCCATCTGTTCCGAAAGCAGGCCTGTCTGCGCCTGCTCTGTCCCTCTTGGAGCTTGGGGTTGGGACTGTGACCACAAGCTTGACTGTGTTTTGTTGAATAAGGAATCTCACTTTCCCAAAATAGGCAACAAGTGGAGACACTGCCTCTCTCACGCTGCCTCCCTGGGTGCTGACTCACTTTCCCCGGCCTCACTCTCTTTTCCAAAAACCGACAAGTGCATTGCTGCCACTTCCCCAGCCGGCTCTGCCCGGCTCACTCTGCTCTCGCAGGGCAGCAGCCGTAGCAGAGGACATGGCGACTCCCACCGTGTGGTGTCTGCCTCCGGCTCCCGCTCCATTCCTCGCCCCTGGCCAGGCGGCGCACCAGGCATCCTTCTGTCTGCCTGCCACTCCTCCTCTGTGCTTCCCAGACGGCACTGCTGCTGCCAAGTCGCTTCAGTTGTGTCCGACTCTGTGCGACCCCAGATGACAGCCCACCAGGCTCCTCTGTCCCTGGGATTCTCCAGGCAAGAACACTGGAGCGGGTTGCCATTTCTTTCTCCAATGCATGCACGCATGCTCAGTCACTTCAGCCGTGTCCGACTCTGTGCAACCCTATGGACAGCAGCCCACCAGGCTCTAGTGGTAAAGAACTCGCCTGCCGATGCAAGAGACATAAGAGACGCGAGTTCCATCTCTGGCTCAGAAAGATCCCCTGGAGAAGGGCACAGCAACCCACTCCAGTACTCTTGCCTGGAGAATGCCATGGACAGAGGAGCCTGGTGGGCTATGGTCCATGGGGTCACAAAGAGTCGGTCACGACTGAAGCGACTCGGCACACACGCTGCCTAGGTCTCCTTCAGGGCTTCCCCTTCCTGTGTCCATCCTTTCAAGACAGGGTTCTGACCCTTGGTCACAGACGTCTCTCTCCCCTGCGCTCCAGGTCAGCAAAGGCATCTCTCCTACACAGTTCTCAGCGGGTTGCCCTCCAGGGACCTCCATTCCGCCCTATCCAAAGCTGCTCTCCCTTCCCCTCCAGTGCACTTTGACCGCTAGAGACATCACTGGCCATCCAGGAGTCATCCTTGGCTTCTCCCACTGCGCTCACAGCCAAATCACCGGTAAGTACTATTGGTTTAGGCTCCTAAATGCACATGAGTCTGTTTCCCACCTCTCTATCCCAAATCATCTCTCTCACAGATCACCACAAGAATCTCCCAGCTCCTCCCCAACCTTCCGAAGACTTATCAGAGTGATAGAGCTAAATACACCCCTGTAATTCCTCTGCTCAGCACCCTTCAGTATTGCCCCATCACCAGATTCCCAAACACCAAACTGGCTGCATGAGGTTCACCCTGAGAACTTGTATAAATGCAGATTCCTAGGCCCTGCCCTTGAAAATCTGGATTTAATCAATCTGATGTGTTACCTGGGAACCGAGGTTCCCCACAAGCATCCCTGATGATTCTGATGCATTGCCAGGATTGAGAACTACTGACCCTTCGGAGAAATTCATACTCCAAAGAAAACCTATAGACTCATCCGTTTAGTTTACGCCATCCTCTTATCCATCTTATCTCCAACCAATCCCTACTTTGTAATGAACCCTCTAGCAACACCAAAGTGAAAGTGAAAGTGAAGTCTCTCAGTCGTGTCCGACTATTTTGCGACCCCATGGACTGTAGCCCACCAGGCTCCTCTGTCCATGGGATTCTCCAGGCAAGAGTACTGGAGTGGATTGCCATTTCCTTCTCCAGGGAATCTTTCTGACCCAGGGATCGAACCCAGGTCTCCCACATTGCGGGCAGGTGCTTTAACCTCTGAGCCACCAGGGAAGCCCACCACCAAGTTTGCAAATCCCGCCCCGTGCCTGCCCGGCCCTCTGCACTCTACCCGCTGAGACTGAAGACTCCAGGGTCTCAATACCCGGGTTTCCATCTTGTCTCTACTGTTCACCGCCATGTGACCTTAGCTTCAGTCTCCTTTTCTGAAAACTTAAAGACAAACAGGTGCTTTCTTTCAGAGTTGTCTTAAGAACTAAATGAGATAAGGCACTGTTAAGCCCTGGCTTGTGGTTAACACCCAGGAAATGGTTGCTCTTGTTATCACATGTCTCCTCCTCACCCACACCCTCAAGTCTCTGTCAGAGGTCCTCTCCCAAGCAGGATGGTCTCTGACTGACCCCACGTGTCCCCAGCACCTGCAACAGAGTTGCCACATGGGTGGCCACGAAATGGCAGCTCAATGAATGAGATCTACAGTACCATGAGCACCAGGCCATGATAACAAGTAGATACTTGACTGAAAGACAAACCTTTCATTATGCAGGTTGTTGTTCGGGGCTCAGTCGGGTCCAACTCTTTGTGATCCCATGGACTACAGTACACCAGGCTTCCCTGTCCTTCACTGTCTCCCAGAGTTTTCTCAAAGTCATGTCCATTGAGTTCATGACACCATCCAACCATCTCATCCTCTGCCGTCCCCTTCTCCTCCTGCCCTCAATCTTTCCCAGCATCAGGGTCTTTTCCGATGAGTTGGTTCTTCCCATCAAGTGGCCAAATTATTGAAGCTTCAGCTTTAGCATCAGTCCTTCCAATGAATACTCAGGGTTGATTTCCTTTAGGACGGACTGGTTTCATCTTGCTGCCCAAGGAACTCTCAAGAATCTTCTTCTCCAGCACCACAGTTTAAAAGCATCAATGCAGGTTGAGGAAGGTTCAACTTGAAAAGTTATGCTGGCTATCAAGTTTTGGGTACCAAAAAGCACTGAGCCCCCAAATATTCTCTGGCTCTAACCTGGTGAGTTGAGTCAGTTTTCATTCACCTGGGCCCCTTTTCAGTCACCATTTTCAGTTCTATGACTGTTGGATGGATGTTACTGGCCACAGAGTCTCCCAGGTTTCCTGCAATGCACCAGCTGAACGAGCCCCAGCTGCTCACAGCGGACCACACTGTCAAGTGATCTCACCCTCTTCCCTTCCCTCAGCAGCCAACTCTCACCCTCACCACCCAGCAGTGCTGCCCTGCTCTGTACTGGCCCCCAGACTCATGACCACATCCACCTCCTGTGTCCTGGGCTGCCTGAAAGATCGACCTGTGTGGATTCTCCTGCACACGACTCTGCAGCTCCTGGCCCCCTCAGGGCAGCCAGAGCCCACCGCGCCTGCTCCTGCCTCCCTGCCTCAGCTCGTGCTGTGCCCCTGCCTGCCATGCCCTATCCAACCTACTATTCTCCTTGTCTCATTCTTGCACTCTGCCCCAAGTTGAAGATCCCACTTTTTGCATGAAGCCTTCCTCGGTCACCTCAGCCCATAATGAACTCTCCTTCTTCCCAGACTTACTATCCTAGTACTCATTGCATTCCTGTATTCATTCACCCAATAATCACCAGATATCTACATGCTAGGCACTGGGTGCAGTGGTGACTAAGAGAGAAATGGGCCCGTGTTTCATGGAGCTTCTACTCCCGTGGGGCTGAGCATGTGTGTGCTGTGACTATTGTTTGCCTCGACACAGAGCCTGTTATCCCCTCCTGAACGTAGGTGGCTTTGGAGCAGAAGCCACACATAGGCTGGTTGGCATTTCAGTGGCCAAGACAGTGTCCTGTTGATACCAAGGGCTCAGCAAATGCACCTTGCTAACAAGATCCATGGCATCACCTGGAGTGACAGGAACTCACGGGGGTGGCGGCCTCTCCGATGTAACCACTACCATTCATCATCTAAGCGCTACTTGAGCCCCCACTATATGCTAGCTGTCTGGCTGCCACCCACAAGCCCAGAGCAGGTCTCTCCTCAGCTCAGCAGTTCCCCTCACCTGGAGTCACCTGCCCTGTTCCACACAGCGACCAGGAGGCGCTTCTGTTCGTCTTCCTCTTGGACAGGACTGCAAAGCAAACCACATAGAGTGTTAGCAGAGCCAAGCTCTGGTCCAGACCCAAACAGTCCCTCATTAACGGCGACTCTTGGAAATAACCTGAACACCCAACCATAAGGAGCCGGTTAAACAAACTAGAGCCCAAATAGAGTGGGATGTGAATATTTATATTCATGAAAGAGTTTACATTACATTGTTATGGATGAAAAGGAGGTTACAACATGATATGATAGAACAATTCCATCTTTGTAAACACACGCCCACACAAATTCAAAGACCTGAAAAGAAATGCCACAAAACATCTCAGTGAGTAGCAGGACTAGAAGTACTTTCTCTCTTCTTTCTGTGTGCCGATCTTTACTATTTTTCTACCATAAGCAAAATTACCGGGTGTAGTAAGGAAAATAACAAAATATGATTAATCTTCACTAATAAGAAAATATAAAATGTCCGTTGCCTTCCCATTGGCCCCAGAGTTCAGGGAGGAGGGAAAGGAATAATAATAATTACACCACCCGACACTCTGTGTTACACTGTCTCATTTACACCTCCGCTCTCTCTGAGCTCAGCACTATTATTAGCCCTATTTTACAAATAAGGAAGCCAAGGCTGAGAGGTTAGCAAGTTGGGAGGGGCGGGTGGGGAAGCAAAACAGCCCTCAGCTTGGAAAATTCCTCCTGCTAAAGGAGAAAGTTTGGCCCGAGGCACAGTGGGAAATTGCCTCCTTTTTTTCAGGGGCTGCCAGCCTCGGGCTGGGCGTTTTCGTTCTGAGAAGCAGTCACGTGATACCTTATCACTGTGGACCTCACTGCCGGGCCGGGTGCCAGGGATGCAAGGACACAAGTGAATGAGAAAACAAAGACATCCTTTAGAAGTCTCTGTTTTTCTGCTTAGATCTGGTTCTAGAGTTGGCAGACAGAGTTGTTTCAGCTAAACACGCCTTGCCTCTCCTCTCGAGGACCCAGCCACACCAGACTCTTACAAGAAGAAGTGCTCATGGAAAACAGGATCTCTGCAGTCCGGAATGGTCTGTGTCTTCTGGCGGCATAGTCGATTATCTTCAGGGATCAAAGAAATCTCGAATTGGAGAAAAGTAAGGGTTAGATGATGTCAGAGCCACCTGATCACCTAAGCCCGATGGCTGACTCTGTGTATCTCCAAGTTACGTCTTCTCCAGCACCCTTCAAACCAGCCTCTTCAGAGGACAGTATGGAGTCCTCCAGATGCCGGGAAAGAAAGAGGAGCCCTGGGCCGGAGGCACTGTAGTCAGATGCTGGGACAGGGCCTCTCAGGGGTGGTTACCAAGGAGGCAGCCCCAGGCCCAGGCAGAGAAGATGGGGTACAATCTGACCACTTCTGCTCTTCCTCCAAGCAGAGAGGTTCCCCCCAAAGAACATAGCCTTTTGTCATCTAAGTCCTCAGCAGCTGCCGAGTGCCCCCTTCCCAGGAGGCTCCAGGTCAGCATCCGCTAAGACCCCCATCCACGCTCCGGTCCTCACGTCGTTCATCCCCTGCCTCAGGTCCCCACCCTGCTCCTGACCTTGGCCTGGGCCGTAGGGGCCTCTTACCAGCCTGGGGGCTGAAGGAAGAAGGCAGAGTGGTGCGCCTGACACCTAACCGCCATGCTTTGGGAGGTGCCTGGCCTTTGCCTCCAGCTGGAAGTAGCCTCCACCCGCCCCAGCCCCTGTGGGGTCTCTGTTTCCACTGCAAGGTCTCCACTCAGAAGGACCCTCCAGCCCTCAGAGATCCTCTCTCCACCCCAGCACCCAAACTGCCATCCTGCCTCTGGTTTGGGGGAGGAGAGGGGTGAAGACGTTGCTTTTCACGAGAAGGTTTGGGATCACCTCTGGATTTCCGCTATCCACGCGCTCAAGGTGCTCACCCACGTGGTGAAGCACAGGCTCACCCATAAGGTTCCAGTCCTTGCAGGAAGCCGGTCTCTCTTAGCTCAGGGCCCCTCGCTAGGCCTAATAAATACCTACTGACCAAATGATGGAACTGTAGCTACCACACTGAATGGCCCCAAGCCCCCAGATAGGCCGGGACCTTGGAACTCAGTGACGTGGTCCCTCACCAACCCCACCCCACTCATACCCACCCTGACAACCTGCTCATCATATACCTTCACGTAGGAATCACAGACGCCGGGTTCCTTGCTCATCAGGCCTTTGCCTTCTATGACTAAACAGAGAATAAAAATGCGGTGGTTGGGTGGGAAAAATCATTACCAGGCTCTCACTCTGCATAACAACCATTGGATATTAACCCCTCTCTGGTCCAGCCCACTCCCACCATCTCCAACACTCGGGCAGCACCTTCACTGAGACATTATAGGGTTCAATTCCCTGACTTCCCAGAAGAGAATGTAAAGTTTATTGAGTCCAAGCCCTCATTTAATGGCAAACATGAGGCTATGAGGCGGCAAGAAAATTGCCCAGTCACAGAGCAATGGGAATGACAAAGCTGGGTTTAGATCCCCAACTCGAGACTCCCAGTCCAGTGCTATCCCACAAGACTGCCTCTTGGGACAGAGGTGCCAAGCTGGGGAACGTAACCTGTCACTTACTAGCCATGTGAGAAAGCTGCTTCACCCAGGAGACTGAATTTGCCCTTTTTTTAATGGGTCAGTGATAATAATGGGCTAATGATAATAATATCCACTTCACACAGTTGTTGCTGTTCAGTTGCTAAGTTGTGTCCAACTCTTTGCGACCCCATGGACTGTACAGCATGCCAGCCTTCCCTGTCCTTCACTATCTCCTGGGGTTTGCTCAAACTCATGTCCATTGAGTCGGTGATACCATCCAACCACCTCATTCTCTGTCGCCCCCTTCTCCTCACACGGTAGTGGCCAGATTAAATGAGATCATGTACTCATGATCTGCTTAGGTGCTTAGCAGAGTGCCTGGCAGAGTAACTGCTCAAAAAGATTTGCTAAAGAAAACAAGGAGGGATAAAGGCAAGGGACAGGGGCGGGGTGCGGTTCATGTCTGGCCATGAAGGCGAGTGTGGCTCGTCTGTCTGAGGCCAGTAGAAGTCAGACAGTAGACCTGACAGAAGCTGAGCCTCTTTTCTCTTTTCTGTCTGGTTTTGATTGAGCCCTAGGCCTTGGCTCAGACGGAGCCCCTGTAGTCTGAGGCGTGAGGCCTGGGAAGCCAAAGGAGCGAGGGGGACAGGCTGGAAGTGATGAAGGGCCTGAGACTGGGGTGAGGCCAAAACAAACTGCAGGATGAATGGACCGGGGAAGCCCAGATGCGCTTGGCAGAAACTGTTTGCACAGCTGGAGGCGGGCTCTGGCAGGCAAAACACCCCCCTCTGCTGGTCCTTGGGAACGTCACCTTGGCCACCCCAAGGCCAGGACTGGAGCGCCTGCTGGTCCATCCTGCCTGGTATCCTAGTTTCTGTTCCTGCGTGTACCCTGCCTGTGGGTGTGGTTGAGGGCAGTATCCAGGCCTGCTGAACCCTTGGGTCTCCCTGGCTCCCCGTGGAGGTGAGGCAGATCTGCTCCCACTCTCACTACACTCCCGTCTGTTGTAGAAGCCGGCTGTGCCCTGGACACACCAGGGTATACAGTGTAGCTGGGACTGCCAGGAGGACCAGGGCAGCAGCAACAGCCCTGCAGGCGGGCCAGGGGGTGATTCCTGGAAGGGAAAAATGAGGCAAAATGAGCCTTCCTCCCTGAGCTTAATGAGATAAAGACAGGCACATTTCCTACAAAATCAGAGGAAGGGAGACTTACTTTTCAAAAGGCGTTCAAAAAGAAGGCAGGCTCAGAAACAAGGAACTGTGGGTGCGAAGGCAGAGGCACGAGCAAGCACGATGTAATCGGGGGTGAAGGGGGCACAAAACTGGATGGAACGGGGGTGGAGGGGAGCCTGGAACTGCAAGAGCCAGGAAGGTGGGAGAAACAGGCAGGATCTGCTGGGCCATGATAGGAGCTCAGTAACTACTTCTACGCTGGATGGAAGGAACAAATGGATAAACGGTGGGTGAAGTACAGAATCCTCTGGGCGGCCCATCAGACCGTCACAACCTGGTCCCAACCTCTGTGCCACAGGCATGTTAGACAGTCTTCAAGTGCATCGTGCCCTCTCTGACCCCCGGCCTTGGCACCTGCGGCTCCCCCTTTGGGGAGTGCCTGGCCCGCCTGCTCCCCTCTGCCTGGCTCAGGCCCCTTCCCCCTTCAGGATGGAGTGTGGACATCACTCCCTCTGCCAACTTCTCCTGGCCACCCTATCAGCACCACCCAGAGGTGGGCACTTCTCCTTGGCATCCCCAGCCCCTAGCATAGGGACGTGTTCAATCACTATTTGGGGAATTTATGGTTTTCTATATCACTTAACACTCATATAGGGTTAACCACATGCTGGGTACTGTCCTAAGTGCTTTACTAAAACTGACTCCTTTAATCCTTGTCACAACCCATAAGATAGGTACTATTATCATAAGATAGGTACTGATATCACCATCCAGCAGATGAGAAGCAGAGCTTGCTTAAGGTCACTCAGCAAGAAAAGAATCACAGCCAAGATTCGGACACAAGCAGTCTGGTTCCAAAAGCAGTTTGATCCCTGGGTTGGGAAGATCCCCTGGAGCAGGACATGGCAACCCACTCCAGTATTCTTGCTGGAAAATCCCCGTGGACAGAGGAGCCTGGCAGGCTACAGTCCGTGGGGTCGCAAAGAGCCAGACAGGACTGAGCAATTAAGCACAGTCTGGTTCCAAAAGCTGCCCCGGTGGCTCAGCTGGTAAAGAATCTGCCTGCGATACAGGAGAGCCCTGTTCGGCTCTTCGGTCGTGAAGGGCCCCTGGAGAAGGGATGGGCTCCCCACTCCAGCATTCTTGGGCTTCCCTGGTGGCTCAGATGGCAAAGAATCCACCCATAACACGAGAGACCTGGGTTTGATCCCCAGGTTGGGAAGATCCCCTGGAGCAGGGCATGGCAATCCACTCCAGTATTCTTGCCTGGAGAATCCCCATGGACAGAGGAACCTGGCAGGCTTTAGTCCATAGGGTCACAAAGAGTTGGACACAACTAAACACAGTCCAGTTCCAAAGACGGAACACTACCCTAGCTGTGACACTACACTGCCATCAGTGAATGAACGAATAGAGAAAGCTACAGAGAGAGAGGAAAGGAAGGAAGCAAGAAGAAGGGGAGGCGAGGGAAGCTCTTCTGTGGCCCCACTCCAATGGAGCCAAGGAGGATGTTGAGTTGCCAAAGACTGCTCCAGCCTGCCATGAACTCCACACTGGGGCAGGACCAGGGGGGATGATCTCTAGAAGTCCCAAGTGATATCCATTTTTTTTTCAATGGACACATGGCAGGACACTGTACAAAGAGGGGAAAGAAGCCTTAGCTACCATAACACTTCCACTCATCCCTGGCTCCACGCAGAAGGTCAAGTGGCCCACCCCTTCCCCAGCGAGCCCCAATGAACACAGCCATACTCACTGTGGAGAAGCAGAACCCGGTCCTGGGCATCAATGGACAGCTTCAGCTGACCTGAGGAAACAACAAGAGAGACAGCTTCATCTCATTTCCTTGCCAAGTGAAACATGGAATGACATTGACAGGTATGTGCTTTTGTTCATGTGAAGTGATTCAAAGTTTCATATAGTCTTGAGGTTGAAAGGGAGCTCAGAAACCACCTAGTTAAGCCTCCTCATGGCATCAATATCTCCAGTGTTGGTTTTCCATCCTAATCTTACACTCTCCTGGTGATGGGGAGCTCACTACCTTACCAGGTAGCCAATCTCTCACTGTTAGAATCAGAAAAGGTTTTGCATCCACATGACAGTAAGGCTAGATTTGAGAGTCAAGGACCCTGGGTGGGCCTCAGTTGGGAGTCCACACTAAGGGACTGGCCAAAGCTCTCCAGCTGTGCAGACAGCTAGGCTATGTTCTGGGAAGGCAGTAACTATACAAGAACATGGGATGAATGAGTTGGGGGGAAAGCAAAAGGAAAGAGATCAGCTGTGGGCAGAGAGATCTTTCAAAGTCAATGCTACTGCCCCCAATCCTTCCACAGAATCCTGACCTCCTTAAAGAAAAGTTGAGGAGACTTTCTCTGACCTTGGCATAGAGATTTGCTGCTCACCGTGAGGTCCAAGAACCAGCAGCATGAGAAGCAGGGAAGCAGGAGAAGTGTCTCACGAAGCACGGGAGTTAAAAATGCAACATCTCAGGACTTCCCTGGTGGTCCCGTGGTTAGGGCTGTGCTCCCAGTGCAGGGCACCCGGGTTCGATCCTTGGCTGGGGAAGTAGAGCCCACGTGCTACAAATCAGCTAAAGATTCCGCATGCCACAGTGGGATCCTGTGTGCTGCAACTAAGACCCAGCAAAATCAAATTTTAAAAAATTCAGCATCTCAAGCCCCGGCCCGGGCCTACTGAATTCGAGTCTACAGTTTAACAAGATCCCCAGGGAGTTGCATGCACATTAAAGGTTGAGGAGCCCTGGACCAGAACTCACTGAAGAGTCTCTTAACATGTTTCTTAGTTAGAAGAAGGCCTTCTTAAGCAAGATACAAAAATGCAGAGGTCACAGGGGAAAGAGATACATTTGACTCCATCAGACTTTTTAAATGTCTGTTACAATTAAACCTACCATAAACAGATTTATGAGACAAGGCAACTGAAAAACAAGCAAAGGACAACAAATGGGAAATTCAGAGATGACAAAATGGCCAATAAACATACAAAAAGAAGCTCAAGCTCATGGAGATCTGAGACATGCAAATTCACAATAAAATATCATCTCCCCTCAATCTGACTGGCAAGAAATCTAAGAGATGATAATGTCAAATGTAGGTAAACACAAAGGAAAACAGATACCCTCATGCCCTCTTGGAGGAAGTATAAATAGAGAGTAATTTCTGACAATATCTATTAAATATAAATGTCCTTATTTTTCAACCTAGCAATTATACTTCCAGGTAACTATCATAGACAAAAACTCAAGTGGCTCTATAACATTGTAAAAAATTGAAAATACTAAAAAAAACCCATCAATGAAAATCATTAAATGAACCAATTATAGTTGTGCTGTGGGATAGTATGGGCTGATATAAAGAATGGGAGAGTGCTATGCATCCTAGAATAGGAACATTATTGAGACAAAATTACTTTTTTTTTTTTTTTGGCCATGCCAAGAGGCATATGGGATTTTAATTCTCCAACCAGGGGTCGAACCCATGCCTTCTGCATTGGAAGCATGGAGTCTTAACCACTTGACTGCCAGGAAGTCCTAAGACAAGTTTTTAAGTGGAACAATACTCATGATATATATCTCTCTGTGTTTGGTGTGGTGTCTGTGTATATGTGTGTGTGTGTGTGTGTGTGTGTGTGTGTGTGTTCTGAAAGGATGTCAAATTAAAAACAGTGATCACCTCTAGGGAACAGATTGGGAATTGGAGGGAGGGAAGTCAAGACGAATTTCAATCTCCCATTACTGGAGTTGTTGTAACAATCCAAATATATCCATGACCTATAGCACTTCTATAATTAAAAATAAATTAAAGAGGAAACACACGGAGAACAGACCTATGGTTGCCAAGGAGGAGAGCGGGTAGGGGAGGGAAGGAATGGAAGTCTAGGGTTAGCAGAGGCAAACTATTATACATAGGATGGATAAACAACAAGGTTTATTGTATAGCATGGGGAACTATATTCAACATCCTGTGACAAACCTCAGTGAAAAGGAATATATATATATATACAAAGCTGAGTCACCTGCTATACAGAAGAAATCAACACAACACTGTAAATCAACTATACTTCAATAAAATTTTTTTAAAACTAAAGAGAAAAATAAGCAGAAAAGAAGAGAAAGAGAGGAAAGGGGGAAGCAAGAAAGGGAGGGAGAGGGGAAACGTGAAGACAATCGAAGGACAAGGACTGGAATACAGATGAAGAATTGAGGGGCTGCATGAGGGTTCTCCTGTGCCTTTCACCATTTTTATTTTTAAAAACACAATATAAAAACAAAATAGAATATCAGGTCATCCTCATAGGCATCCAGCAGCTCTCCAGAGAGAGAGAGAGGACCACGCTCTTCGTCCTCAATGATATGTGGAAAAATCGTCTCTCAAGTCAAGTAGATTCCTCCTAGAGCCTCAAGAAGCCAGTGAACTCCATCTACCCAGTGGACACAGGGCCTGCAGAGAACCAGTACATCAACCAGAAAGCCTGAATCTGCTCCATCCATGACAGCCTTGTTCAGCAGTTATCTGCTTCCCCTTGATCACCTCCAGGGATGGGGAGCTCACTTCCTGAAATGAGAGCTCTTTCCCTTTTGAGATAATTCTGGCTGTTCAATGCCCCATCTCTATAGAGTTAAATGTGGTCTCCTGGTACCTTTCATTGACTGGACCTCACTCTACAGTCTCTAGGCTCTCTTCTTTAGATCAAAGTCTAAAGTCTCTCCACCATTCCTCAGGGCACAGTGAGACATCCCTCATCATCCCAACTCTTCATCTCTGGACATGCCCCATGAAACTGGGCTGTTGGCTGGGGTTCATGCTTTGTTGCTGGCTGCAGGAAGGGCAGGCAGAGCACAGAAAGGAGGGAAGCTCTGCATCTACAGCTCAGCAGCAGTCCACCAACCACTATGATCTTGCCTCCCATACTCTGGACTGCTTAAGCTACAGTCCCAAGCAATTCAGACTCCAGCCAACCCTGATCCAGCTCTTCACCCATCAGAAATCTCTGCTGCTTTCCTGCCCAGGACACTGATCTCAGAAGCCCAGGAGGCCTGTTCTAGTTCCAGCCCCAATGACGCTTGTCTCTCAGAGCCACAATGTCCTTGGCTGTGGGGTGGAGTAATAATAGGGGTTATCACACTCTCTGAGCTGTGTGGGAATCAGATAATGCTGGAGGGTGGGGAGGTCCTTGGATGAAAGGCGCCAGGAGAATCTACAGTATTATTAGCTCAAGGTCTGAGCAATTACCACTTTGGGGCTCCCTAGAGCTGAGAAACCTCCTACAAAAACTGCCCAATCCAGTGTGGGGTGGGAGAGGGAGGTTGGCAACAGACAAATAGGGCCAGCAGCCATGGATGGGACCTCATCAACCCAAAGGCATCTGTGTTTAACACATTTTTTTTCCTGAAACTCTACCAATGCAAACTCTGCACAGCCTTTGACTGTGTGGATGACAACGAACTGGGGAAAATTCTTAAAGAGACCACCTGACCTGCCTCCTGAGAAATCTGTATGCAGGTCAAGAAGCAACAGTTAGAACTGAACATGGAACAACAGACTGGTCCCAAATAGGAAAAGGAGTACATCAAGACTGTATATTGTCACCCTGCTCATTTAACTTATACACAGAGTACATCATGAGAAATGCCGGGCTGGGTGCAGCATAAGCTGGAATCAAGATTGCCAGGAGAAATATCAATAACCTCAGATATGCAGATGACACCACATTTATGGCAGAAAGTGAAGAGGAACTAAAAAGCCTCTTGATGAAAGTGAAAGAGGAGAGTGAAAAGTTGGCTTAAAGCTCAACATTCAGAAAACTAAGATCATGGTAACTGGTCCCATCACTTCACGGCAAATAGATGGGGAAACAATGGAAACAGTGACAGACTTTATTTTTTAGAACTCCAAAATCACTGCAGATGGTGACTGCAGCCATGAAATTAAAAGACACTTGCTCCTTGGGAGAAAAGTTATGACCAACCTAGACAACATATTAAAAAGCAGAGTCATTACTTTGCCAACAAAGGTCCGTCTAGTCAAAGCTATGGTTTTTCCAGTAGTCATGTACGGATGTGAGAGTTGGACTATAAAGAAAGCTGAGCTTCAAAGAATTGATTCCTTTGAACTGTGGTGTTGGAGAAGACTCTTGAGAGTCACTTGGACTGCAAGGAGATCCAACTAGTCCATCGTAAAGGAAATCAGTCCTGAATATTCATTGGAAGGACTGATGCTGAAGCTGAAACTCCAATCCTTTGGCCACGTGATGTGAAGAACTGGCTCATTTGAAAAGATCCTGATGCTGGGAAATATTGAAGGTGGGAGGAGAAGGGGATGACAGAGGATGAGATGGTTGGATGGCATCACTGACTCAATGGACATGAGTTTGAGTAAGCTCCAGGAGTTGAAGATGGACAGGGAAGCCATGGCGTGCTACGGTCCATGGGGTGGCAAAGAGTTGGACACAACTGAGTGACTGAACTGAACTGAACTGAACCAGTGCAAAGCCAAAGTGAGCCCAAACACATCAGGCTTCCTATGGCCACTGGAACCACTGTGCTGCCCAACACCTATCACCTTCCAACAGCCCTTTCCTGGAAATCGGAACCGAGAAACCTCCCAACACAAGGGGCCACTAATTTCCGTTTGATAAACTTCTGCCGGGCCTCTGCACAAAAGCCTGAGGGAGGAAGGGCAGATCTGAACAGTGCCTGCCCTCAGGGAACTCAGAGCCCGGGAGGCTAAGGACTGGGGCCTGAGCAAGCTCAAGGGTGGAGCCAGGGCAGAGGACAGGTCTGGGGTG